TGCAAATTTGATTTGAAAATTTATCCTTTTTTTTTTTTTTTTTTTTTTTTTTTTTTTTTTTTTTTTTTTTTTTTCAAGTCGATGATTGCTTGCACCAGGAGGGGTCAACAGGGGACCTGCCCCACTGTTTCTAGAAAGAAAGAAAAAGACGTCTAGAAGGTCCCGCTTGCCGACTGCAAAATCGAGATGTTCTCTCTCTTTCTTCAACTCTCTACTTTTTTTTTTTTTTTCTTCTTGTTTTACTTTGTTTCTTAGTTTCTCGCATCAGAGATGGATAAGATTGAGCGTTTAATTACATGGGCTAAAGATCATGGAGCTATTCTAACCTCAAACGTCGAGTTTAAAGAGATTTCGCCTAATAACTATGGCTCTGTCTCGACGTCTTATGACCCCGTTGTAATTGAAATCCCCAGATCTCTTGTTATTACTAGCGACCAAGCTGTATCGTTATTTGGTAAAGAGTCGTTTGATAAATCAACAAACCGTCTTGCGTTGTTGAAGTTATATTTGTCGCACTCGAGAATTGATGAGTCGTCATTTTATAAACCATATATTGATGCACTACCAAGTTTAGAGGCCATTGATTCGCCATACACTTGGCCGCCCGAGGATAGGGCGTATATTCAAGGTACGAATTTAGGCAATTCACTAAACGAAAACCTCGCGCTGATCATTGAGGAATGGTGGTATGCTCTCAACTTGATTCCTGAAGGTATCACGAAACCAACAGAGCATTTCATTAATATGAAATTTTACTACGAATACAAATTCTACAATGATACGGATCTTTACAAATACCTAAATGAAACCGCAACTTCAAATTGGACAGCGTTCCCAAATTATCTTTGGTCATCTTTGATTTTCAAAAGTAGGGCATTTCCAGCATATATTATAGATAAGAATTTTCCAAAAAATGAAGTGATGTTGTTACCGGTTGTTGATTTGCTTAATCATAGTCCAAGCGCTAAAGTAACTTGGAGTAGCGGTGGAAATGAAGAATTTAGATTCGAGACGGATGAACCAGTAGCAAAAGGCTGTGAGATCTTTAATAATTATGGATTGAAAGGCAACGAAGAGTTATTGTTGGCATATGGGTTTGCTTTGGAGGAAAATAATAGCGATTCGGTGGCCTTGAAGATTAAAGTTCCTAAATCCATGATTGAGAAGATTGAAGCTAAAGGGATTAAGCTACCCACAATTGATGATTATACAAACTCTGTGTTGGACAAAGAAGGCAAGACCGAATCGAGCCATGAACATGGAATATTATTTTTTATTACCTTGACCAATTTTCCTGAAAACCTTAAACAAGTTTTCGAAATGTTGGTGCAGAATTCATGGGAGAAGGGTTTAACCTTGAGAATGAAACTAGCTGGGTTGAATCATTTAAGAGCAGCTCTTGAAGTCAAAAGAAAGATGTTGCAGTTGAATGTGCCTGCAGATTCAACTAGAAGAAAGTACATCAAATCTTATATCACGTCTCAGGACAAAATCTTGTCTTCAGCAATAACTTGTATTAAGAGACAAGAAAAGGAACTTTTGAGTCAATTTAAGACTCATTTAATCACCCTCAAAAATGTGTATAAAAAGGACAAGAGATTTCAGCAATCCTTATTGTTCCTTGGATTTAATGATTTCGAAACGATATTGGAATCAGAATTCCAGGACCAATGCTGGTTGTTATGGTTGATTCGTTGCTATAACAAAAGCTCATATACAAAAGAGCCAGAAGAGGATAATTATTTGCCTGATTGGATACAGAATCTATTCAGACAACTAAGAAGAGATACGGAAATAACTACACAAGACGTTTTAAATTTCAAGCCGATTCACGATAACTTAGTGCCACAACTAATATCATCGGTACCTGAAATATATGGAGTTGGGGATTGGTCAATAGGGGAATTTGTCATTGCTGCTAAATTGCTTGATCGAATCTCATTTGTAAGAGGTAAAGACCAGGAATGTATTATTGTAGAACAGGAGTATCAAACTTAACCCAATTATACAAGCTAGTTACATTAAGGGGGGGGGGAGAGGCGAGGGGCGACGAAGGATTAACAAGATACTCCCAATTAGAAGGGTCCTTGTGAGTGTCTATTTTTTTTTTTTTACCCCCCCTTTCAGCTGAAAAAGCCCTTTATTACCACCACAACAAAGATTAACTACGTGTTAAGGACCCCTTTCCCTGCCCCCTCTACCATTTCCATCACAACTCAGATATAATATCAACGTAACCGAAAACACCCCATTTTTTGTTATCTATATATATATATAATGGTGATGAGTATTTACAAACCTAAAGAGTCTTTAACGTGTTTTCTTATCGTCTCATTGTAAAATTCCCTATTTTCTCTCCACAATTTACAAGCATCTATATTTGCACCACTTTCTGGGTTTGGTTCAGCCAACATTGATATAACACTAAGCAATATTTTTTCAATACTTTGCACGGGAGACCATCTTTCCTCAGGTCTTTCATACTGATTTGGGTCTTCACCCGGAGGATGTAATATTGATATGCAAACGGTTCCATCAGAATAAATATTTGGGTGTAACAAAGGTGGGTCAAACTTCAAAGTTGGTGGTCCCAAAGGGTAATCCTTGGGGAATGTAAGTATAGCGGGAAACACTCCATTTTCATATGGCGTGTCTGATGGTCCCTCTAAAAAACACTGCCATTTGAATAAATTATCTTCGCTAACTGGACCCGCTATTATACCTGGAGGTGGATCTCTAGTTAGAAGTTGGTATTCTTTAAGCAACCGCTTTTGAGCAGTCGACCGAGGTGGCATATATACTAGATATATATATATATATATATATCTATCTATCTACGTGGATACTTTTACAATTTATCTCTCAATAAAAGGAAACGATCTTCTTTGGATAGAGGAATTGTCATATATTATCGAGCTTGCCGACTCTTTTTTATAATCATCTATCGCTTAGCGCTACCATGTATTAGTTCAACCAAAGAGCAAGTCAAAGGTCAGCAATTTGTTTACCCCCTCCTCCCATTTGTCCATATACGTGTAACTTACTTTGTTGGCAGTTCAACTAGATGTTTAAATTTTCGCCAACTGTGGAATTTACCAGAAACCGAACCAAATAGAACAGAGGGGAAATAACATTGAAAAAGTATAAATTTTAAAAGAAAAGGTTGGCGGCTACCTAATATCATTAAAGCAAAAAAAAGAGAGCGATTCTCTCTTTACTTTCTTTTTCTTTACATTTATACGCATTGAATTATACCTATAATGATATACATATCAACATGACATATAGCACTGATCTACTCCACATTGTTTTTAGGTATACTGTATCACCCGTTCATAGTCCAGTATTCCGATTCAATGGGAGTAAACTGGAAAGAAACAATCAAAACACTCTGCGCCATTTCCCATAAACTATGCTGGCTTATTAATGATGGAGGAGAGAAAGAAAGATGAAAAAAAAATTTCCTTGAAAAATTTGAAAACCTAAGCCAGTGTTTTTTTTTTTTTTTCATTCTTCTTTTGTATACTTGTATTGTATTACTACACACTATTTCCCCCCACCCCTTCCCTCGATAATGAATCCAGCTGTTAGTAATATTGCATTAATGCTTATTGGGATGCAAGTCGCCAAGAAATTGGACTTTGAGGACTCCAATGTACTCTTCTACACTAGAGCTTTCTACATTGGATGTCAGTTGGCCACTTTTCTCACCTACATGTTTATCAAATTTAAAATAGACCAAAAGAATGATCTCACTACCCTCAAATATGTTGAGCCTGCTAATGCTATGAGTGGTACTGAAGCTAGAGCTGTTGTTACTACCGTTAAGGAGTATGATTTGCAACAAGTGAATCAACTCATCAAGGGTATTTTTACTGGATTAGCTATGATGGGATTTATGCATCTTTACATGGGATACACCAACCCCTTGATTTTGCAAAGTGTTTCTGGTTTGAAAGGTGCTTTAGAGTCAAACATGGCCAAAATTCACTTGTATGGGAAGGAAGCTAATGGTGATTTAAAGAGACCATTCAAATCTGCTCCAGGGTTAATGGAAATGTTGACAGGTGGTGCTACAAGCGGAGTTCAAAGCGACAAGGCTTCTGTTGAAAGTGCCGAAGTTAGCGGTTCTGGTGGAGTCAAATTAGATTAAACCAAAAATAATGATCCTATATATATACATATATACATATACACACACATATATATATATATATCTATCTATCTATCATTATTGAATCTTTTTGCCTCTTGAGCTATTCTAGTATAAACGGTAGCGTTCGATGATGTATATTCTTTTTTTTTTTTTCCCCTTCATTCCTTTTCAACAATCGGATAACTCAATTAAGAAGATTTAGCAAATATAAAGCAATTGGAATATACATTATGTCAACAGAACCAGGTGCAATGCAAGTTAATGCTGAGAATGCAGATAATTTAGAAGAAATTGAAATGCAATTTGCAGTGAAAGCTGTTCAACAAGCAGAGACTTATTGGTCTCTTCTAGAAAAAGTTCAAGGTTCTAAATTGAAGCTTACAAAACATGACGATCAAATATATGAACAATTACTTGACGATTTTCCCGAGTTTAAGGATAAAGCCACAGCGGCGGTTATAAGCGAGGAGGAAATGAAATCGCCCCAAGGCAAGACCAAGTGGAGAGAGTTTTGTGAGAAATTTAAGGACCTTGAAGATTATAATTTTGGCACTTTATTGAGACTAAAAGCTGATGACGAATATGGTCAAGATACTACTATTTTCGCTGTTAGAATTCAATTTTATGCTATTGAGATTGCTAGAAACAAATATGGCTTGAACGATTGGATCTATGAAGCTGCACATAAAGAGAAGAAGTAAGTAAATAAGTAAGTAAGTAAATAGACATTGTAATCTGACAGATATATATCGATTTGTTAGGGCTTTGAAGAGTCTGGGGAGACGGAGTTGATGAAGAGACAGCGGCACTAACGGGAGAAAAATGTTATAAAGAAAGCTTTTGGTATTTTGCATCCCTTTTGGCCGGGTAAGTGAATTTATATGCACTCTGCAAAGTGAAACAAAAAATTCAATCGTACAATGGAGGAAGACGAAAGAAAAGGAAAGGAAAGGAAAGGAAAGGAAAGGAAAGGAAAGGAAAGGAAAGGAAAGGAAAGGAGAGATCTTCTGGTTAGGATCACTATTCTTTGAGATAAATTTTGTCCAATTACGAGTTTAGATGCCGCCACGAACGAGTGCTCAGACTGCTAGCGCGGAAACGCACTGGAAGAACATATCGTCAAATAATGGAACTCCACAAGATCAAGATAAATCACCTGCTTATACTTTACCAGGAGTGATTAACTACTTGACATCCGAGTTTACGGACTTGGAAAGGTTCAAGATTATGACAAACTTGGAAAAATCAGAGATGAAGCACAAGATTGCTTATTTGCAAGGAGAGCTTACTTCTTTGAAATTCATCAACCAAAAACAACAAACAAGAATAGAGCATTTGGAAAGGGAAAATAAGCTATTGAGGGCGAATATTAATGGGGAGCATTTCAATAAACCAGAATATGATGATGATGATGATGACGGTGAGCTGAAACGTTTGTCGCATTTGTTGCCAGAAGTCGACGTGCAGCAGATTAAGCAGTCGAAACAAAGGTTGAAGGATTCTACAAACGAGATAATATCGTTGCTAAGAACTCCGACTTCTAATCTCAGATATCTCAACCTACCAGAAGGAAACGGAAACGAATTTGAGCCACTAATGAACAACGAAGACTCAAAACCAAGTGGCCAAGGGCATCCAAGTAATGTGATATCTCGATTTTTCAACGATGATAATGAGATTCTAGAAGAAACAAAACTGCAAGATACTAAAGAGTTTATACACAGTGATGATGTAGACATCGACGAAGTATTGGAGCGCGCATTATCCAATGAAAGTGACGCAGTTACTGTTATTGTTGATGAAGAAGAGGAGCCAGAACAAACATCAAAACAAAACCCAAAACTGGAACAAGAACAAGAACAGAACCCAGAAACAGAACAAGAACAAGAACAGAACCCAGCAACAGAACAAGAACAAGAACAGAACCCAGCAACAGAACAAGAACAAGAACAGAACCCAGCAACAGAACAAGAACAAGAACAGAACCCAGCAACAGAACAAGAACAAGAACAGAACCCAGCAACAGAACAAGAACAAGAACAGAACCCAGCAACAGAACCACAACTAAAATCAGAACAAAAATCAGAACAAAAATCAGAACTAAAATCAGAACAAAAATTAGAACTAAAATCAGAACAAAAATTAGAACTAAAATCAGAACCAGAAATCAAAGTACAGGAAACAACCTTGACAAATTCAGGGCCAAGCTTATCAGATCAAAGAAAAGAATTAGCACATTATGATGATGAGGAGGAAAAGGAAAAGGAAAAGGAATTGAAGGAGGAGGAGGAGGAGGAGGAGGAGGAGGAGGAGGAGGAGGAATTTGATAGCTCAAGTGTTTTTGACCATGATAACTCAACAATCCACCTAAGCCTGTCTTCAAACCGCGAAACTGTTAAATTATCGGTGTTTGCCAAAGCCAAAAATGAAACCACCTTGATTAAATATGTCTCTCTATTCAACCGCAAGCTGATAATCGACGTGTTTAGTTTATCAAGTGACAGCTTTGTATTTGTTGAGAAAGGTGGCGAAATCAAGCTTTTGACTTTTGAAGGAGACAAAGATAAAGAGCAAGTCTTGTTTAACGTTAAAAACCACTTTCCAGAAATCAGCAAAAGTGCTGTTATCAAATTTGAACCTGAATCCAAGGATACGTTAGAAGACCTGGTTTATGGCTTGGCACTTGTTGGACGTGCCAACGGGTCCAAGTCTTTGTTGACTAAAATCTATCAAATATCGCATAATAAAAAGACAAATCTCACTTTGTACAAGGAAGTTGCCAGTTACAACAAGAAATTCATAACCAAGAACTACAAGAACATCAATGAAATATCATTTATTGGCTGGCATGTGAATAAAAGTCAACATCTATCACACACAAACAAAAATTCAAAAGCAGCCTCAAAGAGTCTGGAGAATGGCATAAACTTATCAGCATACGAAGTGTTGTATAAAGTGGACGATATGAAAGTGCTGATAAACCTCGCGCTGAGACAAGTTATGCCATACAATGAGAACTCTTGAACATAAAAGGGAGCAAAGAAATGAAAAAGAATGAAACAAGGCTGAATTTTTATACCTTTACCTTTATTCTTCTTGTATTGATAAGAAAATAACCGCTCTCGGTCAATTTCCGTATTCGGAGTAAAGTGCGGCACTGAAAATTTTTTTTTTTTTTTTACAAAAATTATTCTATCTCATCTCTAGAAGGATATCATTGCAAGTGAAGGCCAGTAGTGTTGATTGGAACAGCACAGAGCCCCCTTTTGCTTAAACATGTCGAAATCTTTTGATGACTTTGTGAAGCAGCAACAGGCTCAGCAAAAGCCAAAGACTTTTGGCTATCGTAATGCTGGTGGTGGAGGAGCTTCTCAGTACAATTTCAACAACACGTTTGTTCCAAGTCAGCCACAACCACAACAATATTATAGCCAGCAACAACCCTTTCAAGGATATAAGAATAGGTATAGTAATTACAACGATGCCAAGACTTTTCAAAGCACTCAATATTCATCCACGGCATCGCCGGTGGACTCATTACCAACAAGCGGGAGATCTACGCCCAATCCAAATGCATCGACGACCTCCTTGACTTCTTTGAACACTGCTATATCCAAATTGAATGTGGATGTACCATTTCGCGAGAATTTATCAAACATTGAGCACGCTTCTAAGATCAGCGAGGTGAAAACTGAAGTCAGTGCAATTGTCAGCCAAATCATGGATCAGGACTCTTTTTCAATAGTAGTGAGTGAATGGAAATTGAACGATATTTTAAAGTCTTTACTAAAACCAAAGAATGCGTCGTTGGTCAAGGAAGCGGCTTTGCTTATTATTCAACAATTAGCACAACACGTTGTTGACCAGACGCCAAAGGAATACCACCTTCTTCAGTTTTTCGCAACGGCATACGATATGTTCACTGATAAAGATAAAAATGTTGTTAAAGCAGCCAAATCTGCTGCAGATGCGCTTTATGCTGCCTACCCGATAGAAGCATTAGGTTCCGTTGTTCTCGATGAGCACTTATCAGTACTCCAGTCGGGAGCCAAATGGAACTCTAAAGTTGCTGCATTGGCTAATTTCGATAAAATCATTGATGATGTTTCTGCAGATATCTTGGAGATGAAATTCGTTGACGTTGTGCCTGTGTTGACCGATTTATCAACTGATTTTAAGCCCGAATTGGCAAAAGCCGGTTTACAGACTTTGAAAAAATTTGTCAAAGTTTTGGATAATTTGGATTTACAAAACAAGTACGATTTGATTGTGGATACTTTAGCTGATCCACTGAAAGTCACTGATTGTGTGAAGAATTTGTCGTCAGTAACTTTTGTTGCCGAAGTTACAGAGCCTGCATTGTCGCTATTAGTGCCAATATTGGACAAGTCCTTAAAAATGACATCTTCATCAAATGAACAATTGAGGCAAACTGTTATTGTTGCTGAGAACTTGACTAGATTGGTCAACAATAAAAGAGAAATTGAAGTGTTTATTCCTATACTTTTACCTGGTGTTGAGAAAGTTTATAAGAGTGCCTCGTTACCAGAGGTAAGAGAATTAGCTGGTAAGGCTTACCAAGTATTGAAAGATGCTGAAGCGGAAAAGACTGATGGTAAGTTCCATGGTAGAATAAGCTTGAAAGAAGCAGAAGATTTCTACAAGAATGAAATCCCTGAAGGTGTTATTATTCCACCATGTGTCACCGATCCCGATACTATTGAGTATTTGGCCAAGATTCTACAAGTTGATGCCAATACCAACGATTGGAAACGTTTGCACGAATATTTGAAAGCAATTTCATCAAACAGCGAGGAATATGCTCATGCGGTCACAACTCACGTAAAACACTTGTTTAATCCTGAAGCTAACCTGGACGGTGCTGAAGATGATGGCGCTATTGAGGTGGTCAATACCGACTTTTCGTTGGCCTATGGTACACGTATGTTGTTGAACAAGACAAACTTGAGATTGTTGAAAGGACATAGGTATGGTTTGTGTGGAAGAAATGGTGCTGGTAAATCGACTTTGATGAGAGCAGTAGCCAATGGTCAATTAGAGGGGTTCCCTTCGGCTGACGAATTAAAGACATGCTTTGTTGAACACAAATTACAGGGATCTGAAGCCGATATGGATCTAGTTTCTTTTATTGCCTCGGACTCGGAGTTAGTTAATGTGGGCAAAGATGCTATTAAAGCTGCATTGTTTGATGTTGGGTTCCCTGAAGAAACCTTGTCAAAAAATGTTGGGTCGTTATCAGGTGGTTGGAAAATGAAGTTGGAGTTGGCTAAGGCAATGTTGATGAAGGCAGATGTTTTATTGTTGGATGAACCTACGAATCATCTTGATGTAGGCAACGTCAAATGGTTAGAAGATTACTTGGTAAGCCATTCTGAGATCACATCTTTAATAGTTTCTCACGATTCTGGATTTTTGGACGCTGTATGTACAGATATCATTCACTATGAGAATAAGAAATTGGCATACTACAAGGGTAATTTATCAGAGTTTGTCAAAGTGAAGCCAGAAGGAAAATCGTACTATACGTTAACCGATTCAAATGTTAAGATGGCATTTCCACCACCCGGTATTTTAACTGGTGTCAAGTCAAGTACAAGGTCGGTGGCCCGTATGTCGAACGTTACATTTTCGTACCCTGGTGCAGCAAAACCTTCATTGAGTAACGTATCGTGTTCGTTGTCGTTATCCTCAAGAGTTGCTATCATTGGTCCTAATGGTGCTGGGAAATCTACCTTGATTAAGTTGCTCACAGGAGAATTAGTGCCGACCGAGGGCAGTGTGGAGAAGCATCCGAATTTGAGAATCGGTTACATTGCGCAACATGCATTACAACACGTTGAACAACATAAGGAAAAGACCCCTAACCAATATTTACAATGGCGTTATAGATTTGGAGATGATCGTGAAGTATTGCTTAAGGAATCAAGAAAAGTTTCTGATGAAGAGATGGAAATGATGCAAAAGGAGATTGATATTGGTGATGGGCGTGGTAAGAGGCAAGTTGAAGCAATCGTAGGTCGACAAAAATTGAAGAAATCCTTTCAATACGAAGTGAAATGGAAATACTGGTTACCTAAATATAACTCGTGGGTCCCAAGAGAAAAGTTATTGGAGGAAGGATTCGATAAGTTGATACAAAAATTTGATGATCACGAAGCATCTAGAGAAGGTTTAGGATACAGGGAGTTGACACCAAAAGTTATTCGTAAACATTTTGAAGATGTTGGCTTAGACGGTGATATTGCAGACCACACTCCAATGGGATCACTATCGGGTGGTCAATTAGTTAAAGTTGTTATTGCGGGTGCCATGTGGAACAATCCCCATTTATTAGTTTTGGATGAGCCTACCAACTACCTTGACCGTGACTCCCTTGGAGGGTTAGCTATTGCCATTAGAGAATGGAGCGGAGGTGTTGTGATGATTTCACATAATAACGAATTTGTAGGTGCATTGTGTCCCGAGCAATGGCACGTTGAAAATGGCCAGGTGGTGCAAAAGGGTACTGTTGCTGTTGACTCAAAGAGATTTGAAGATGGCGGACGGGAATCGCAAGGTGAGGGTTCTCCTGCGCCCGAGGCTGCTCCAGTGAAGAAACGCGACGATGATGATGATTCACCGGCTAATATCAAGGTTAAAACTAGAAAGAAGAAGATTACCAGAAATGAAAAGAAGGCGCAAGCAGAAAGAAGAAGATTGAGATATCTAGAATGGTTAAGTTCTCCAAAGGGAACACCTAAACCAGTAGATACAGATGATGAGGAGGAATAGAAAACAACAATAACAACAACAACTAAAACAAAAACATTTTTCCATTTTCTTTAATTCATTAGGAACAGTGCTATATTATATAGAATGGTATAGATATAATTTTGGTTTTAATAAAAGAGCTTATAGAATTTACAACAAAATAGACTATCGAGCACAGCGAGGTGGTTTATATCTCCATCTCTGCTTTGCTCAACTAGTCTCTAGAGCTTATAGAATGGCTTGATTGCAAAAAGTGAAAAAAAATGAAAAGTCGTGTTAATGTTTCAAGAAATGAACGGCGAAAATGGCTACCACGAAAACGTACCAACAAGACTTTATAGGTCCCCCCCCCCCTCCCAATTGAAAAGAGAAAGGCATTGATACTGACCTAAGACAGAGGTTTGACTTAATATGGCTGACAGATACTCCTTTTCATTAACGACTTTCTCCCCAAGGTATGTTTGTAGATTTATAACCGTTTTGTTTTTACATATTTGCCTTTTCGAGTGATATTAGATGGCCCCAAGGTGGACCACTTTATGAAGAGATGGGGGTTCTAGATGTCCAAAAAGGGGACCACTTTGTAAAGACTTGGCGGTTCGCAGAGGAGATTGGAGACCACTTTGTAAAGAGATGGAGGTTCGCAGAGGAGATTGGAGACTGCTGAGTAGTAGTAGTGATGATGAATGAATTTTGCTTTATACTAACACCCGATTTTTCAGCGGTAAGCTAGTTCAAATTGAGTATGCGTTGAATGCCGTGAAGCAAGGCGTAACTACAATTGGTATCAAGTGTGACAATGGTGTTGTTTTGGCCACTGAGCGTAAAACTACGTCGGTACTTCAGAAAAATGATGTCAATAGCAAGGTTGAGTATATAACGCCAAACATTGGAATGACATATAGTGGAATGGGTCCAGATTTCAGAGTGCTTGTGGATAAAGCACGCAAATTAGCGCAATCGAATTATAAGCTTGTTTATAATGAATATCCACCGGTGCGTATAATGGTTCAGGAGATAGCTAAGGTAATGCAAGAAAGTACACAATCTGGTGGTATAAGACCATTTGGAGTCTCTTTGTTAGTTGGTGGCTATGACGAGTACCTGCAGAAATTTCAATTATATCAAGTTGACCCCAGTGGGTCATACTTTCCTTGGAAAGCTACCGCAATTGGTAAAACTGCTAATAGTGCAAAGACTTTTCTAGAGAAAAGATGGAATGAGAACTTACAGTTGGAAGATGCCATACACGTTGCATTATTGGCGTTGAAGGAAAGCGTGGATGGGGAGTTGATTGGTGAGAATTTGGATATTGCAGTGATTAGTGACCCGCAACAACAATTATTGGGATTCACAGGAACAAATGTAGAAGGACCAAGGTTTAGGAAGCTAGGCGCCGAAGAGATCAACGATACTTTGGATTCGTTGTGAGAGTTGTATAAAGATTAGATTATTTGGCTAACATTTAAGTAAAGAGTAAATGTTTTTCTTTCTAAGCTGTTCTCTTTAGATTGGGATGTGGTGGGGCGTGCATACGTGTGATGCTTTGTATTTATACGTTGTGGGTGTCATTTTCTATCGTTGTTTGAACCTACTCAAGCTATATCAATCAGTTTGAATCTACTCAAGCTATATCAATCAGTTTGAACCTACTCAAGCTATATCAATCAGTTTGAATCTACTCAAGCTATATCAATCAGTTTGAACCTACTCAAGCAATATCAATCAGTTTGAATCTACTCAAGCTATATCAATCAGTTTGAATCTACTCAAGCTATATCAATCAGTTCCAGCGGACACAATTAAAAAAACATTTTTTTTTTTTTCATCTCATCTCATCTCATCTCATCTCATCTCATCTCATCTCATCTTATCTCTATCATCAATACGGAGGGACTCATGACACGAAAGAATAAAGGAAAAAGTAGGAAGAGCAATAAAAGCAGAAGCTCTCAAAAGGTAATAGACGCATACCAGATTGCAGAAAGACAGGAGTATAGGAATAAACATGGAGATCACCAAGGACAAGATGAGGATGAGGGAAACTATGCGAATGATTTAGCATTTGAAGAGGGTATATTGGATGCTCGGAAGCTTTTAAAGGACGGGCAAGAAGAGGAAGATTTATTGGATGAAGAAATAGACTCAGATGAAGCTTTGGGAAGTGACGATGATTATGATGTTTTGGACAGTAAAATCTCGCAAAGTATACGAGATAGGGCCAAGAGGATGAAGATAGGTCAGGAACGCGAAAGAGAAAGCGAGAGCGAGAGCGAGGACGAAGAAGCTTATGATAGTATTGACGAAAGTCAATTAGTAACCTTGTCTGAAGCTTGGGATATGGATGATCGAGATTTAGCACTATATCAGGGTAAAGAGAAAAATGATATTGTTTTGAACGACGATTGGAATTCTGAAATCTCCTCTAGCGGTGAGAGCTCAGATGAGGAAGACGGAGTGGAAGAAGACTGGGGTGAGACTTCTAGAAACTTAGAGGAGGAGGAGGAGGAGGAGGAGAAGGAGGAAGAAGAAGATGATGATGAAGAAGAAGAAGAAGATGATGATGAAGAAGAAGAAGAAGAAGAAACCGATGAGGAGGATATATTTGCTCACGATTCTGCTGACGATGAAGATATAAATTTGACAAAGACAGCACGACAGTTGAAAAAGAAGTCCGATAGCTTGAAACCAAAAGAACGCAAGAAATTTATTACTGAAAATCGTGATGAGCACGAGTTTAACGTACCTAGTGGCGGTCAATCGTTATCTCTAGAAGACATGATGCGAGCAGTGAAAGGTAACGCTGGGGATGCAATCTTGATTGATACAAATTCAAAAGTTATAGCTACACCTTTACCCAAAAGAATTCAGCAGAGAAACGATCGTGGAGCAGCTTATGATTTAGCCAAGAAAGAAGTCAGTAAATGGACTGATACGGTTCAACAGAATAGACAAGCTGAAGTGTTGAAGTTCCCAATGCAGCAGCCAGACTCATTTACAAGTGACGACGCCAACACGTTCAGAACAGGACCTAATCAAAAACCATCGTCTGAACTAGAAAAGAAGGTGAATGATGTGCTTACTAAATCTTCCTTGCTCGATGATAAAAAGGAAGCAACATTTGAAGAGATTGCTGTGGCAAAGCTATCTGCAGAAGAGCTATCTAAACGTACCAATGAGTTCAGATTAATGAGAGAATTGATGTTTAGAGAAGAAAGAAGAGCCAAAAGATTAAAAAAGATCAAGTCCAAACAGTATCACAAGATCAAGAAGAGGGAGAGGTTGAGAAACCAAAACTTGGTTGAAGAAGCGGAAGGTATCAGCGACAATGATGAAGAAGATAATGATAGGAATAGAGCACAAGAACGAATGAGTCTTAAGCACAAAACACAACTGAAATGGGCGCAATCTATGATCAAGAGTGGATTGTCTAAAGATGCATCTAATCGTGAAGAATTGGAAGAAATGTTGAGACAAGGGGAGAAATTGAGAGAGAAGCAACTAGGTAGAAAAAACGGGGAAGACGATGAAAATGAAGATGATGGAGTGGATGATATTGAGCGAGACTATGCAAACGATGAGGAAAAAATTGATAGAAGCAAATTGGGCAAAGGTATAATGGCGATGGACTTTATGAAGAATGCAGAGCGGAGGAAAAGAGAAGAGAATATCAAAATGATTGAGCAATTGAGGAGGTTTGAAAATGGCGAAGATGATGGGTTAGCGTTGTTTGAAGAAGATAATGGTGCTGTGAACTTGACAAAAAACCAGGGTAGGAGAGTTTACAATCCAATCGCCATAGATAACAGCTCTATTAGTGAGCAGGTTTTGAATGAAGTTGAAGATGACAATGCTAAGAACTTGGCAAAAAAAGTGAACAAAGTCAAAGTTGTTGTACAAGAGGATTCCAAGAAACAAGACCCAAATGAAGGGGAAAAAGTGGAGCATGCTGATGATGATAAGTTCTCGTTCAACCCATGGCTATCCATTGGATCAGAGGCTACACCTTCCGAACCCAAACAGAAATCCAACAAAGTTTTTGTAGTTGATGAAAATTCATCCAAGTTTGAAAAGGCTGCTGCTAAAATCGCAAAGCAAAACCTTAAGAAACATAAAGCTGCAAAAGTTTTGATTGATACAAATGACACATTGGCAGTGAATGATATACACAACGACGATGATAACAATGTCTCTGATGTTGAGAACGCCGCGGTTCCACAAATGTTTAAGCAAAAAGATTTGATTAAAGAGGCATTTGTAGGGGACGATGTGATTACGGAATTTGAAAATGAGAAAAAGAGGATTATTGAAGATGAAGATGACAAGGAAGAAGATGTAACATTACCAGGATGGGGTGATTGGGTTGGTGGTAAGTCCAAGCCAAATTCAAAGAAACGGAAAATTATTAAGAAGATTGACGGTGTGATGCAAAGGGATAAGAGGAAAGATAAGAATCTAAAAAATGTCATTATAAATGAAAAAGTCAACAAAAAGAATTTGAAATATCAATCCACTGATGTTCCATATCCATTTGAAACGAGAGAACAATACGAAAGATCACTTAGAATGCCAATAGGACAGGAATGGACAAGTAAAGAAACGCATCAAAGATTAACTATGCCGAGAATCATAACCAAACAGGGTATGGTTATTGATCCATTGAAAGCTCCGTTCAAATAAATAAATAAGTTTATAAAAGAATAATAAAAGAAAAACACAGAAGAAGAACCAAAATTTGTTTTAATTTAACATAAGATAGTTTATATCTAATTCTATTATATTTGTCCTGTCATCTAGTCTAACAATATACCATTTCTATCAGCCCAGTTTCTTCCCGAAAGGAAAACACCATCAGGATCAGTTTCTTTTCTCACTTTGTTGAAATCAACCAAGTCCGAACCAAACCAATCTTGCATATTCTTTTTAAATCCATTCATTGTGTAAAACTTTTTACCTCCAAATTCCAACTGAAGGTTCAAGTCGCGATCAGTTACTTCTTTATCAACTTTTTCAGATACTTCGCCAATAAAATTTTTGGCCCAGTGAGGTTTACCGCCTTTTGCTTCCATAATATGTTCAAATTTATCATACCACTGAGAAGTGTCAACATTTGTACCAAATGGTCTATACATTGTTGCATTGATAAATAAAGTCAATTGATCATTAGTTGGCTTAGCGTCTTCTCCTTGGTATTTCAATCTAGGTGAATTATCCATATATGCACGAAGATTGTTACCGGGGATAGGGCCAGCACTAGTTTTAGTTCTGTGGGATAACCATTCCTGGGAAGGGTAAAGAGACTCCTTGCCATTTGAATCAACAAATGGTTTACCTGATTGAGTAACATTCGAGCAACGCACTTCAATGGGTGCGTGTACGTAAAACTTCTTGTCCTTTGCGGCTTGTGCAATAGTAGTTTGTAATTGCCTCAAAATTTCTACACCTTTGGTAAGTGGCGCAGACCATTCATTAACAAATTGGGAAAACAAGCAATCCATATTCAATGCTTCGACCGAGTTTTGCACAGCAACGTCACCCAGACCAAGAGTTTCAACTTTACCGTACTGCTGCTCAAAAACAAACTTTTCAATAAAAGGAGTTAAGCTTGGGCACAAATGAACTGAAATCCACAACAAAGATTGATAAAACAAACGGCCTGACCATGTACCATACCATGATGGCCTTGGAGGTGAGATCGGATCAGTTGACTTGTTTGCTCTCCAAAGCACACATTTCCCCGTATATGGGAACCACCAAATTCTGATAAACTCAGAGTCCAACCAAACAGTACTCCAATGTTGCAACAAGGTATCGAAATTGATAATCTCTTGTTTTGACTTTATTGTGTACTTTGGGCATGTACGCAATGTCACATGTGTTATAATTCCAATTTTGCCCAAAGATAACAAGATGGCTCTAAAATAGTTTGGCTTTTCTATAGAAGAACACGTTATAGATTCGCCCATTGAGTTAATAAATGTGATTGAAACTACTTGTTGCGAAACTAATCCATGGTATTGAGTTGATCCATGGGTTCCCGTGGAGATTAAGCCTGCGATGGACTGTTCACTAATGGAGCCCAAGTTTTGAATCGCCAAGTTGTGCTGTTTCAAGTATTCGTTCAATTCAAATATTCTGCATCCTGCTTCAACAGTAAGATCAACAAATTTCACCTCTTTTTCACTTGAGCCAGGAGCAACAGGTCCCGAGACTCCCTGTTCTTTAATAACATGGTTGAACTTGTCCAAATTGCATAACCAGTCTTTAGTCATTGTTAAATCGCTTGGCGAATGTCCTGACCCAACGGTCATTATAGTCTTGTGACGAATCCTTGCTTCATTGACAAGTGTTTTGATTTCTTCTACATTACGTGGTTGAAATATTGCTTGAGGGTGACAATAAAAAGTTCCTGCCCATGTTGCATGAAAAAATTTGTTGGTGACAAACGGTCTTGTTGATTCGGGAATAGTTGGCTTTTCTGTCATTGGTAAGGGGGAGGGGGGACCAAACGAGTGGTAAAGAGAGAAAGGGTTGGTGAAAGAAAGAAACGAAAAAGTATCTCAACGAAGAAGAAGTATCTCAACGAAGAAGAAGAAGTATCTCAACAAAGAAGAAAAAGTATCCCAACTTGTTAGAGAAGAGTGCCAACTTGCTAGATAAGAAGAGTGCCAACTTGCTAGATAAGAAGAGTGCCAACTTGCTAGAGAAGAATCGTGACTTGTTACTTAACTTGCTAACTAGGGAAAGTTGCATGATTTTCTCCCTTTTGCGATGAACGGAGCGGGCTTCTTTTGCATTTCAAGCTAGATCCAGTCACGTGATTCTCGTTTATTACCAGTAGGTGAGCAATAACAGAGATGAGCAGAGATGAGCAGAGATGAGCAGAGATGAGCAGCAGGTGAGCAGTAGATGAGCAGCAGGTGAGCAGAGATGAGCAGAAGTGAGCAGTTATATGTATGAGAAATCTTGTTTGTAAACATGGCATAGTTTTGTAGTTGAATGAGTTTGTGTAATGAAAGTAAAAGGAGCAGACACTATCGACACTATTGACACTATCGAGCAACACTATCGAGCAGAGCGAGATAGTGGAGCAGTACTGACTAGCTTGTCACAACACTATCTCGCTCTGCTCGATAGTGTCAATAGTGTGATTAGCTTGTTACAACACTATCGAGCAGAGCGAGATAGTGTCAATAGTGTTGATAGTGTCAATAGTGTGATTAGCTTGTTACAACACTATCTCGCTCTGCTCGATAGTGACGATAGTGTGATTAGCTTGTTACAACACTATCTCGCTCTGCTCGATAGTGACGATAGTGTGATTAGCTTGTTACAACACTATCTCGCTCTGCTCGATAGTGTTGCTTGGCCACAATAGCTACCATATATTGGCTATGAGGTAATATTGATTATGAACTACCATTTATTTTCTCTAAACTATCATCAACTGCCAACTATTTAAATCAACAAACTATTGATTATATCAACTACTATCCTATCCATTATCAAATAACCATTGTCTTACTGACACTGTATCATATACACTATTGAGCCGAGCGAGGTAGTGGAGCAACACTTTGGAGCTTGTGCTTACTACTCTACCTAGTCTATATCATTGAGCTATTATTGTACTATTATTGAGCTATTTTTTCTAGTCTTATTTATCGGCACGTGATTTAGACATCCGCATCACAATACAGCAAACTCTGGTTACTTACACTATCGAAACTATCGACACTATCGAGCAGAGCGAGATAGTGTTGTAACAAACTGCTGAGTATGTATTATACTGGATCATACTAGATCATACTAGACCATACTAGATCATACTAGACCATACTAGATCATACTAGATCATACTAGATCATATTAGATCATACTAGATCATATTAGATCATACTAGATCATACTATATCATACTCTATCATATTCTATCCCATAGTCTATCATACTCTATCCCACACTCTATCATACTCTATTATACTCTATATCATACTCTATCATACTCTATATCATTGTGCTTTTCTTGTTCTATTAATAAGCTATAATCGTGCTATATTTTTCTCATTTATCGGCACGTGACTTGAATATTTTAACTGCAATATAGTAACATTTTATACTTTGTTACTTTTTACTTTTTTACTTTTGACACTTGTTTTCTTTACTTTCTGTTATAGTATCACGTGACTATTTTTACTCTCAATAGTTATAGCAATACTCAGTAGCTTGTTACAACACAATCGATACTATCGAGCAGAGCGAGATAGTGCAGCAATACTTAGGAGCTCGTTGCAATACTTAGTAGCTTGTTACAACACTATCGACACTATCGAGCGGAGCGAGATAGTGCAGCAATACTTAGGAGCTCGTTGCAATACTTAGTAGCTTATTGCAATACTTAGTAGCTTGTTACAACACTATCTCGCTCTACTCGATAGTGGAGCAATACTTAATTGCTTGTTACAACATTATCTCGCTCTGCTCGATAGTGGAGCAATACCTAATTGCTTGTTACAGCACTATCTCGCTCTGCTCGATAGTGGTGCAATACTTTGTAGCTTGTTACAACACTATCTCTCTGCTCGATAGTGGTGCAATACTTTGTAGCTTGTTACAACACTATCTCTCTGCTCGATAGTGGTGCAATACTTTGTAGCTTGTTACAACACTATCTCTCTGCTCGATAGTGGTGCAATACTTTGTAGCTTGTTACAACACTATCTCTCTGCTCGATAGTGGTGCAATACTTTGTAGCTTGTTACAACACTATCTCTCTGCTCGATAGTGTTGTCCATTTTAATTTTATTTTTTCTCTTTTCTTTTTTTTTCTTTTTAGTTTTTTTCTTATACGATGTGACAAATAATGAAAATATTAAACGAGAAAGAGCCGCTCGCTTCAAGTATAGTGGATTTGGCTTTGTAGTTCTTTTTTATTCAACACAACAGAATGAGGTGGTAACTTGGCCCATCTTTGTCAAAATGCTTTTTTTTCATCACCTCTTATTAAAGTCTAAAACTAGAGAAAACTAGGTCTTTTACTAGAGAAAACTAGGTCTATTAGCTCTATTAGCTCTTTAACTCACGAGTTTGATTGCATTTTTTTTGTTTCTTTTTTTTTTTTTTTTTTTTTTTTTTTTTTAATTAAAAAATCGGGTTATTTAAAGTATACTTCTTTTGTTATTCTTTTTCATTTGAAGAGCCTTGCTAGAACTTAACTTGGGAAAACCTTTTGCTAAACAGAATTATAAACCCAGTTGTCAATTCGATTTCAAGCCAAAGAAAGCATTTCCCTTATATCGATATATTCTAAAGGAACTTGTCTTTTTTTAAAAAAAAAAAAAAAAAAAAAAGAGTTTGGAATTCATAAAGAGCCAAATAGAACAAAAGAAAAATTAATTAATAGCATCTTACTAGATATATATTCTGATTAATCGTTGAAAAATGACAAAATCGCCACAAAATATAGGTATTAAAGGTATTGAGGTTTATATCCCAGGCCAAGCAGTCAACCAGAGTGAATTGGAGAAATTCGATGCAATTCCTCAGGGTAAATATACCATTGGTTTGGGACAAACCAATATGGCGTTTGTTAACGATAGAGAAGATATTTATTCCATTTGTTTAACTGTTGTCTCCAAATTGATTAAGCATTATGATATCGATACCAACAATATCGGAAGATTGGAAGTTGGTACCGAGACTTTATTGGACAAGTCGAAATCTGTTAAAACGGTTTTGATGCAATTGTTTGGCGAAAATAACGATATTGAAGGGATCGATACTTTGAATGCATGCTATGGTGGTACTTCTGCCGTAATAAATGCTATCAACTGGATCGAGAGTTCCAGTTGGGATGGAAGAGATGCAATCGTTGTTGCTGGTGACATTGCTATTTACGACAAGGGAGCTGCAAGACCTACTGGTGGTGTTGGTGCCATTGCCATGTTGATTGGTCCTGACGCACCTATTGTTTTTGATTCAATAAGAGGTTCCTTTATGGAACATGCTTATGATTTTTATAAGCCAGATTTTTCTAGTGAATACCCGGTGGTGGATGGTCATTTTTCATTAAGTTGCTATGTCAAGGCAGTTGACCACTGTTACAAGAATTACTCTAAAAAGTATACTGGGGATAAGGACAAGACAGTTGGGTTATTCAACCACTTTGACTATAACGCGTTCCACGTTCCAACATGTAAATTGGTCACCAAGAGTTACGCAAGGTTATTATATAATGATTACAAATCCAATAGTGAACAATTTAAAGATTTAATCGATGAAGAAACTAGGAAAACAATTGATGCATTATCTTATGAAGAATCATTAACCGATAAGTTATTGGAAAAAGTTTTTGTCAATTTAGCAAAAGAACAAACTAAAAAAAGAGTAGAACCAGCATTGAAAGTTCCAACAAATACTGGTAATATGTATACAGCCTCTGCGTGGGTTTCATTAGCTTCATTATTGTATTATGTTGGTTCCAAAGAGTTGCAAAACAAGAGAGTTGGTATCTTTTCTTATGGGTCTGGATTAGCATCAACTTTACTTTCAGTCACAATTAGATCAGACATTACTGAAATCACAAAAGTTCTTGATTTTGACTTCAAATTGAACAAAGGTAGAAAGATCCAAACCCCTGATCAGTATGTTGCAGCAATCGAATTGAGAGAAAAGGCTCATTTGCAGAAGAATTTCAAACCTCAAGGGTCAATTGAAAATATAGGTGAAGGAGTTTACTACTTGGAAGAAGTTGACGATAAGTTTAGAAGAAAATATTCTATAAAGAATTAAAGTCATTGGCAGCTAGGTTTTTATTTGCTATTATTGTTTGGGGAAAAGTTGAAAGTTTGCAGTTGGATACAGCAGGTAAAATTATAAAAGAAGGTCGCTTGCTTGTTGACACTGGTTAAACAAAAATCAAATATTTTTAGAAATAAAAAACTAAAGATAACAATTTGAATTGAAAAATGAAAAATGAAGAAGAATGAAAATTGAAGAATGAAAAATGAAAAAAAATGTATTTAGTATTTGCATCTAATGTGCATGTTTGATATACAGCAAGGTCACCTTTCAAATATAACTTTTTTGAGTAGTACCTGTTACTCTTGCTTTTTTCTATTGTCAGTTATACTCTTCTTTTCTTTTTTTTTATTCTCTCTCAACACAAGTTAATAGTTAATAGTGATGTGTTCTTTGTAGGCGATATGGCGAAATCGCAATAATTCATGATCCATATATGTTCTATGAGCATTCAAAAACTCATCATTCATCATATACAGCTCTATGTTTCTCCCAGCTCGTTGTTTCAGATTACCTGGACGAGTATTAACCTTGTTTGATATAATTCTATGCTGTATTTTTTCAATCCACTTGAACCGTTTTTTCTTTTGTTTTATAGGGAAAAAGTTTATTGATGGATTACTTGTAAATTTTAGAAGCCGCTTTACAAGGTTGGTTGATATTTCCGTACTTGAAGATGACACCTGACTTATTTCTTTTTCATTTATAAATGTCGCCCTTCTTTCAAACTTGACGACCCCTAGTTTCAATAGACATGAAAATAAATTATATACCTTACCAAATGAATTATCCAAATTCAGGATATTAAAAACTCTCTTGAGTACTATCAAAGAATGACACACTTTTTGTGTATAAATTGTCCCGCGATGATGCAATTTGATTTTAAGCTGGAATAATGTAATCAATCTTGGCCGGGTATTCTTCCCGCAATCACTTTTCTTCTTTTTCCTCTGTTTAACATGACCAATGGTTTGCTTTTGCTTCCGCTTTTGCTTTTGCTTCTGCTCCTGCTTTTGCTTTTGCTTTTGCTTCTGCTTCTGCTTCTGCTTTCCACTATCCTCCTCACTTCTTCTGAATGAGCCTCGCAGTAATGGGAACCCTCTTGGTGATGAAACATTGAAATGCGTTTTTTGTCTCCTGTTGTTTTTCGGCCATATCCAACGCTGTTGCAACCGCCGCCGCCGCCACTGCCGCTGCTGCTGTAGTCGTTTATTCCTTTTTTCTAGCAATGCTGACTTTTCAACTTTAATATTAAATTTCTTAACTTGTTCATTATATCTATTCATTTGTTGATGTAAAATGATGATCCGTAACTCATTCAATTCCTTGGTGTTGGTGTTCTTATAAATATGTCCATAGCTCACTTGTCTAAACAATTTGTCTTCTGTAATTGCCAACTCGAAGAAGATCCTTTGGTCGTTAGTCATCACCCACCCTGCATTTGTCAAACATATACAACACTAGAATACGAGGGGGGTTCTTTTTTTTTTCTTTTTTGCTTCAAAGTGAACAACGATATTGACTAGGATAGACTAAATCAAAAGTGAATTTTCCATTTTACAATTTTGGGTGCAAAAAAAATTGAAAGCCAATTCTTTTTTTCTTTTTCTTTTTGCATCATTTAAACACAAAATTTCGTTTGGAACTGATTATGAAGAAATTTTAGGGGAAACTACAAACGTTTTTTATGATACGCTGTTGATCTTACATCAAGTGGGTAGAATACTAGTACTACAAAATGTAAGAAAAAAAGATTAAAAGTTTGGAGCTGTCATGTGACATATAGTAGCTTGTTACGACACTATCGAGCAGAGCGAGATAGTGAGCAACACTTTGTACCTTGTTATGACACTATCGAGCATAGCGAGATAGTGGAGCAACACTTTGTAGCTTGTTATATACATAGATATAGATGAAGAGCTGGAGTGTAGATGAAGAGCTGGAGTATTGATATCAAGCTATTAAGTTGCTCCACTATCTCGCTCTGCTCGATAGTGTCGTAACAAGCTATTATATGTTGCTTCACTATCTTGCTCTGCTCGACAGTGTCGTAACAAGCTACTATATGTTGCTCCACTATGTTGCTCTGCTCGATAGTGTCGTAACAAGCTATTATATGTTGCTCCACTATGTTGCTCTGCTCGATAGTGTCGTAACAAGCTATTATATGTTGCTCCACTATCGAGCAGAGCGAGATAGTGGAGTCAAGAAAAACAAAACTACCCCTTTGAGAAAGAATCTTATGGAAAACACACACTGGTTTGAGCCACAAGAAGAAAGGGGAGAAGGGGGGTAAAGAGCACCCCTTTTTAACTTTTAAAAGTTTGCTGTTCGAATCTTATGCCACGTGATACAGAGAAGATACGGGAGACGAGTGGGACCAGTTTTCAAAAATGTAAAGACTTCCAATCTCTTTGATTTTATTGACAACAGGTTTTCCATAGCTATATGTGGTTCAGTATCATTTACCAACTCTGATTTCCTTAAACTTGTTTCTTTCTAGGCCGAAATGATAGCAGTACCCTCTTCAATATGGCCATAGTTCTTTGTAAATCAATGAACAAAAATAAATATCACCGGAACAAATTTCAAAAGTTACGATTGCTAAATTGCTAATTGAGTAAGAAATAAAACGTATCCCTTGTCATACTTGTCATGCGTCCCACATATGTATATATATATATATATATATAGTTATAGAATGATTTCTTTTATATTTGTAGATTCTTGTCAACCATTGCCTGTAGTTTTTGCGTAAGTTTTACTAATGAGATTTGTTTGGTTAACGCTTATATTTATTCACTTGGTGCAAGCCAACAACTTTGGATTTGACCAATGGAGTAACAATGACTTGAAACAGTTTTTGAGTGACTGCAAGATCAAACAGGACTCCTCTTGGGATAACTCAAAGTTGATTGAAGTTGCTACAAATGAAGCAAAGAAGATTGAAAATGGATATAAGAAGTTGAAAAACGAAATTGATCAACAATTGAAACCCAAAAAGAAGAATTTAGAAGACTATTTAAGCTTTAGCTATTTGTTTGGATCAATAGATAAGAAACCTAAATCAGTTCTGGACTGGTGTTTTGAGAGCTGGAGCTCAGACTCTTTGAAAAACTATTTGAAACATAATGGGATCAAGTTTAACGACAAGGATAACAAGAGCGATTTGTTGAAAATAATTAAGCTGAGTTTCGACAAAGTGGCTAAAAAGAACAATGGGTCTACTTATTATCCCGGTTCTTGGTTGTACAATTCTTGGTCTGAAGACGATTTAACCAAATGGTTAGACAAGTATGGTATCTCTTACAATAAAAAATCTACAAGAGACGAGTTAGTTGATAAAGTTAAGGAACTCAATTATAAGACAGTGAATGAGATCGAGGATACCAAAAATGCCTTGTTTGATTCATTGGATCTCTTTGATAAAACGATTTTTGATCGTGCGGGACAAATCAAGGACGAATTCTTTGAGACTTGGTCGTATTCTCAACTAAGAGAGTGGTTGTACTTGCATGGATTCATCAATGAAAGTCCCGAGGAATACGTTGCTGAGTTGGATAAAGAAAAGTTGATCAACATTGCGAAGAACTACAAAAAGTACCTTTTGGAAGATATCAACACTTGGTTGAAACATTCAGAAAGAAAAGTTCAACCATGGTTGAGCAAAGGTGGCGAATCGTCAGGCTCATCATCCCGTGGAAACAAACACGTTGAGAATTTGATCAACGATACGTTTTTCGTTGGTATCAATAACTGGTCCAAGGATAAACTACGCGAATTTTTAAATGTTCGTAAAGTTCCATATTCCATTTTTACTACAAGGAGTCAACTAGTTGAGTTGGTAAAGGAACATAGATCAGATCCAATTCACGTTGAGACTGAGGCGTTTGTTATTGACCAAGATTTTTCCACGAACTCTATAAAGCAATGGTTGAAGGAACAGGGCCAAAACATTGATGGATCAAGACAAGATTTGATTGCCGCATTTCAAGAACAGTTTAAAAAGATTGGGTCAGATCCTAATAATTTAGAGTCCCAGATTAGGTTTTACACTCCTGACCTTGAAGGTTACAAACAATACTTGAAAAAGAATGTTCCCGAATCGAAAAAGTACTCCGAAGACAAGATTGAACAGGCTTACAAATTAGTTGAGGAATACTTCAAAAAGGCTACTGAAACAGCAAGAGAGGAGTTCAAAAAGGACAAGTACTCTAGCGAGGAGGCATTGCAAGAGATACAGAAGGCTAGTTATGACTACGCTAGTAGTGTTTACGACAAAATCGATGAAACTCAAAGCAATATTTCAAGTTTGATTACAGATGCAGGATTAGCATCGACTAACTTTGTTAAGTCATTAACAGCAAAATTGGTTCAAGATTGGAGAAAGCTTGAAAACTCTTTATTGGGAACTAAAAAGAAGGCACAAAAGGAAGCAACTGAATGGGTCGACAAGGGCAAACAACAGCTTCAACAAGGTGGTCAAAGTGTACTTGAAACAGTCAATGATGTCAGTAAGGATTCATCTAAGAAGTACGACGCACTTTCTCAAAAAGCCCAGGATTTATACAATGATTATTTGGCTACTGCGGGTGATTCTTATGATGACTTGTCAAAAGATGCGGGGAAGAAATACGAAGCAGCCGTTAAGGAAGCAAATTACAAGTATGATCAGTATAAGAAATTGGCCAAGTCGAAATCTGATGAAGTTTCAGAAGCAGCGGGAATTCAGTATGAAAAAGCTGTAGCAGATGCCGAAAAAAAATACAATGATTATTCCAGCTTGTTGAATAAGAAGTTTGAAGAGTTGTCTACGAGTGCTGGTAAGCAATATGAATTAGCCGCAGCTGAAGCACGTAAGAAATTTGACGAGTACAATAAATTAGCAAATGATAAAGTGGACAAATTATCTACAGAAGCCAAGAAACAATATGAATTAGCTGCTGCGGATGCTAACAAGAAATATGAAGAGTATACCAAATTAACTAGCAAGAAGTACAACGACTTGTCTAAAGCGGCTAGTAAGCAGTACAGCGAGTTTTCGAAAGCGGCAAACGAACAGGCTGATAAAATATCAAAAGATGCAGCTGATTCATATGAAAAGGCAGTAAAATTAGCTAATCAAAAATATGACCAACTTTTGAAATTGGCTAAGCAAAAGTCTAATGAATGGTCTACTGATGCCAGTTTGAAAGCTGACGAATTATACAAGGAGGCGGGTAAGCAATATGAGCTTGCGGCTAAAGACGCGTCAAAAAAGTATAACGAGTTTTCTTCAATAGCTGCTTCTTATGCTGCTGATTTAGGCAAAAAGGCGACTGAAAAATATGATGAATATTCCAAAGAAGCTTACAACAAGGTAGATGATTTGTCACAAGAGGCGCAAAAGCAATACGAGCAAGCTCTTAAAGAAGCTGAAAAGAAGTACAATGAGTACTACAAATTAGCAGGTGAAAAATATGAAGACTATAAGAAAAAAGCAGATAAGAAATATGACGAAGCTTCACACGAAGCAGCAAAACAATACGAGCTTGCCCAAAAGGAAGCTGGTATTAAATATGAAGAGTTTAAGAAACTAGCAGGTGACAAGGCAGCTGAGTTTTCCAAAGAGGCAAGCAAAAAAGCTGAACAATTGAAGAAAGATGCGAAAGAGGCGCTTAATACAGCTGGAGAAGAAGCTGGTAAATTGTACAACGATGCTGTAGACCAGTCTCACAAGTCGTATATCAAGTACTCTCCCAGAATCAAGGATTGGGTCAAGGATGTTTACCGAGGAGCATTATTCCGCTTGGGCTTGTTCAACAATAGAGTCTATGACGTTGCTGAAGAAGTTGGTGAGAAGGTTGGCGAGAAATGGGATAGCATGATTCGAGTTTATTCCAATGCTGATCTCAAGGGCTATTTGAGATCATTTGGATATAGCTACTCCTGGCTCAATGGATTGAACAGAAGGGAATTGTTGACACTTGCTCAAGTACAAAAGAAATTGTTTTCCGGGTACAAGCATTCGAAATGGGAAAAACCAATTGGCGAAGTGCTCAAGGATGCCGGTAACGAGGTTAGCGAGAAGTTGGGCATTACAAAACAACCTCATGGAATTGCTCAACATATCAAGGCGTTTTTAGGTTTTAATTATTAACACTATCGAGTGACACTATTGAGTGACACTATCGAGCAGAGTGAGATAGTGGAGCACACTAGCTGCCATAAAAGTATACACACCAGTTTTATAACCAGTTTATCTCCTCTTAAAACCCTATAGTTTCGATATAGTCAGTGTACTCCACTAGCTCGCTTTGCTCCCTAGTGTCGCTAATCACACCAGTTTTACAACTAGAGCTTAGCTCGATAGTCTCTTCTCTCCCTCCCCCCTCCTCCCCTCCCCTCTCATAAGTGTCATTCTCCTAGTTGTTGCAAGAAACTGGTCACTGCTTTTTTCTCTTCTCTTGTTCCTCTCGACTGTCGAGCAAAGCTCGATAGTCTTATTTCTTTTCCCCGCAAATGTTGCAACACATACAAATATAAATATGAGACTATCAAGCTTTGCTTGATAGTCGAGAGGAAGAAGCAAGTAGATATAGTATCTTTTCCTACTAGTTACGTGTTATCATGCACCAGTACGACTACTGCACACCTTGGGCTCTACATGCTATCCAGTCCATTGAGACTGAAATAGACAACTTTCCACTCATTTTGAAACCAAATATCTGGAAGACACAGAAGACACAGCAGCAACAGCAACAGCAGCAGCTGAAGCAGCAGCTGCAATTGCAAATACAACTACAACCACTGCAACAGCAACTTCCGCTGCTGCTGCTGCTGGTGCCACCACAGTTGCTCTTCAAATCCTACAAGGGAACAGTATTCACTGTTCCCTTGTATTCCCGGTTCTTTGTGATCAAGTCGTATAATGTGCTCGACATCAATGCGTCGTTTCAGCATAGTATCTGGACTTCCACAGAGTTGGGCAATAGAAGATTGGATGCAGCATACAAGAGCAACTTAGAGAAGAGTATCTCCCCTTCCGGGAAGATGCTCTCTCCTATATTCTTGTTTTTCCTGGTCAATTCACTGGGCAAGTTCTGCGGCGTTTCTCAAATGACTGGGCCTATAGACTACACTCAGACTAGTGATATCTGGTGCGAGCACTCCAAGTGGAAAGGCGTGTTTCCAGTAGAGTGGCTCTTGATTAAAGATGTGCCGAACAAGTACTTTCAGCACCTAAAGGTGCCGAACAATGAGTACAAGCCAGTGACTAACTCAAGAGATACACAGGAAATACCATATGAGGTAGGAGTCCAGATGTTGAAAATAATGAGCTCTTTTAAATAGAAATCACACCAAAAAAAAAACAACATCAATGAAAACAACGTTTTCGTTGTTTTATTGCCTACAATGCTTTCAAAGATCCCCTCTGTGCCCTCAATGCTTTCCTCCATCAGACCGTTTTTTCTCTAGTGGTGCTGCTGCTGCTGCCTAACAGGCTTATCTAGACAGAGTCATTAGAGTCGACCAGGCTGGGGAGTTGGGCGCTGATTATATATACATGGGCCAATACTGGGTGTTTGGTTGCAAGCACCCACACTTGAGACCCGTGCTCAAACACATGTGGGAGCAGGAGATACTATAGTGTAGATATAATCAGTGTACACTATCGAGCGACACTATCGAGCGACACCATCGAGCTGAGCGAGATAGTGTCGGTGGCAGCTAGTGTGCTCCACTATCTCGGTGGCAGCTAGTGTGCTCCACTATCTCGGTGGCAGCTAGTGTGCTCCACTATCTCGGTGGCAGCTAGTGTGCTCCACTATCTCGGTGGCAGCTAGTGTGCTCCACTATCTCGGTGGCAGCTAGTGTGCTCCACTATCTCGCTCAGCTCGATAGTGTCACTCGATAGTGTCACTCGATAGTGTCGCTCGATAGTTCCCATAGTGTTATTACTTTTCTAGAGAGCTCATGAGATTAGCTCGTGAGCTCAATCTCGCGATATATTGCACGGTTGTTGATACTGTAATGTAAAGAAAAGTGAGAAAATGGGTTATGTTAGGACCATAATATGTAATTTGTATCAGTTTCTATAAAATTTGCTTCAATCTTGGATAAAATAAATCTAAATTCGACACTATCGAGCACACTAGCTGCCACCAACACTAGGGAGCAAAGCGAGATAGTGTCGAATCTACAGTAATAGTAATAGAATCTATAGTAAGTACTTAACATCATATACAATTAATCAGCTAATATTGGCTCTCGTGGTTGTAAAAAGATACAAAGTGTTGCACCACTAACGAGCAGAGCGAGATAGTGTTGAGGTTTGAGAGTAGTCAGTGTGCTCCACTATCTCGCTTCGCTCGATAGTGACGAGGTTTGAGAGTAGTCAGTGTGCTCCACTATCTCGCTTCGCTCGAGAGTGTCGATAGTGTCATTGACAGTCAGTGCTGCTTCACTATCTCGCTCTGCTCGATAGTGACGAGGTTTGAGAATAGTCAGTGCTGCTACACTATCTCGCTCTGCTCGATAGTGTAGTTACATAAGCACATTGCACTCCCTTACATAATACACTATAAACGCCAAAAATGTAAACAAAGCTGAGAAATTTTGCCCTTTTTAATTTTTCTCTCTTTATAGAACAGTTTTTTGTTCTGTTTGGAAGAGTATAGGAAACATTTATACTTTATAAAAAGACAAGATTATATCCTTTATTCAGTAGTAGAGTCATGAGAGAGGTTATTAGTATCAATGGTATGTTCTTTGCTGGTACACGGGTTTGATGTGAAGGAGTTCTTTGTGAGAAAGGTGAGAAATCAAGCTATAGGGAGAGGAGTGGATCAAAAAAAAACGATGAAACACGTAAAATGTGTCGATGATAATTGTCGTCAAAAATAAATTTTAACCCCCCCTTCTCCCCAACAAAATCTATTGAAACGCTTTCATATTAATCAATTACTGTTGAACTTGCTACTAACAGTCTATACGAAATCATATAGTCGGACAAGCTGGTTGTCAAATCGGTAATGCGTGCTGGGAATTGTATTCTCAAGAACATGGTATTAAACCAGACGGTTATTTGCAAGAAGGTTTAACCAGACCAAAAGGAGGAGAAGAAGGATTTAGTACATTTTTCAGTGAGACCGGATCAGGTAAATATGTTCCTCGTGCGTTATATGTTGATTTAGAGCCAAATGTTATTGACGAGGTGAGAACTGGTGTTTACAAAGATTTGTTCCATCCAGAACAATTAATCTCGGGAAAAGAGGATGCAGCTAATAACTATGCCAGAGGTCACTATACCGTTGGAAGAGAGATCTTAGATGATGTTTTGGATAGGATTAGAAGAATGAGCGATCAATGTGATGGATTACAAGGGTTCTTATTTACTCATTCATTGGGTGGTGGTACTGGTTCAGGTTTGGGCTCCTTGTTGCTCGAGCAATTATCGATGGATTATGGTAAAAAGTCAAAGTTGGAATTTGCCGTTTATCCTGCACCACAAGTTTCCACTTCGGTTGTTGAGCCTTATAATACTGTTTTAACTACACACACCACTTTGGAACATGCTGATTGTACATTCATGGTTGATAACGAGGCTATTTACGATATGTGTAGAAGAAATTTGGATATCCCGAGACCAAATTTCAGCTCGTTAAACAATTTGATTGCTCAAGTGGTTTCCTCGGTGACCGCATCATTGAGATTTGATGGTTCATTGAATGTCGATTTGAACGAATTCCAAACCAATTTAGTGCCATACCCAAGAATTCATTTTCCATTGGTGAGTTACGCACCAGTATTCTCCAAAGCCAGAGCTAACCATGAAGCTAATTCAGTTTCCGAAATTACACAATCTTGTTTTGAGCCAGGTAACCAAATGGTTAAATGTGATCCTAGAACAGGTAAGTATATGGCTACTTGTTTATTATACCGTGGTGATGTTGTTACTAGAGATGTTCAAAACGCAGTTGCTCAAGTCAAATCTAAAAAGACAGTTCAATTGGTTGATTGGTGTCCTACTGGCTTCAAGATTGGTATTTGCTATCAACCACCAACTGCTATAATCGGTAGCGAATTAGCCAGTGCTGCAAGAGCTGTTTGTATGTTGTCCAACACTACCGCCATTGCCGAAGCTTGGAGAAGAATTGACAGAAAGTTCGACTTGATGTATTCCAAGAGAGCTTTCGTTCACTGGTATGTTGGAGAAGGAATGGAAGAGGGCGAGTTTACTGAAGCTAGAGAAGATTTAGCTGCATTGGAAAGAGATTATGTCGAAGTTGGAACCGACTCTTTCCCAGAAGAAGAAGAGGAATATTAAGCGCTATCATATCTTTTCCATTGCTAGATTTACATGTGGCTTTTGTTCCCCCCCCTTTTTTTTCCCCCTTTTTATACCTTTTCTCTCATTTATACCCACTTTCCACTTTCCAACACCCCCTTTCCATATTTTGATTCTTTAGGTTTAAATTTATTTGTGCTGTTTGTTTGTTTAATTTGTCATCATCTTGAACCCGGTTATTAAATTCACTTCTGGTAGCTCTTACTTTTCTTAGATTGAAATTTTTTTTTTCATTTTCTTGTTTCTTTTATTCCGGTCAAATGTGTACATATTATTTGTATTGAACTTTTGTCCATAAAGAGTTTACTGTTGTCCATAAAGAGTTTACTGTTGTCCATTAGGAGTTTACTGTTGTCCATAAAGAGTTTACTGTTGGTTTGTCTGAATAGGTTTCCCACGATGCAAGACAAGAGGAAGCTATTGGACCAGCCATTACATGGTATTTATATACCCATAGGGCTCCTTCTATTTGGAACATGGTTGTTCAGTTGGTCGTATATGCCATATACCATTGCATTTATTGTAATTGTTTTTTCCATCAGATATTATGGAGCACTCAAACGAAGAACATCAATTGACAAGAATATATGGAGGGACTTTGAATTAATAGATAAGACGCTTATTGCACCGATGACCTCGATCTACCGATTTAAATTATATCGAGACGATGAAGTTTTAGATATACCCACGGGTCACCATTTGGCATGTTGTTTCACAATCAATGGTAAAGATGAGGTGCGTTTTTATTCTCCAATACTGAATCAATTCGATGCTGGGTTTTTTGATATACTAGTAAAACATTATGAAATGGGAAAAGTAACACGTAAACTTGCCCAACTACAAATTGGACAAACTGCCAAGTTTAGAGGGTTTGTAGGTAATTTAAACTACCGACCAGGGATGGCTAAGGAAATCGGACTAATTGCGGGTGGCACGGGAATAACTCCGATACTACAAGTGATAACTCGTGTAATTACCAATTTGGAAGATGATACGAAATTGAAACTAATCTATGGTAACGAAACGGAGAAGGACATTTTACTCAAGAATGAAATCGACGAAATCGCGGCAAAGTATCCTAATTTTAATGTTCATTACACTGTAACTTATCCCGACCCCGAGTGGGACGGTAGTAAAGGGTACATCAACCGTGAAATGATTGAACAATATGGCCCTGAAGTAAGTGATGAGAATATGTTGTTCATTTGTGGTCCACCCGAGATGAAGAGAAATTTATTTGCATTGACTCAGGAAATGGGATGGAAACAAGACAATGTTTTTTGTTTTTAGACAATATAGACTCCGTAGGTGATCCATGGATTCACATTTGAGCTGTAATTATTGAGGTTAGACGCGTAAGTAGAGTAAAAAAAATTGAATAAACTTGATAAAAACGGTAAACCATAGTCACTCATTTATGATAATGACTTTCCTAGCGCCGATCTTCAAAGTTAAGCCAGAACAACGATATCATAATTTTTCTTTTTTATCAAGCATTACTCTGTTGGAAGTAGTACCAATAGAACAACCCTGATATGGATAGAGACGGAGATGCAGGGAACTTTTCATCCTTCTGATCGTTAGTTAATATTTTTTTTTTTTTTCTTCCTTTCAGTTTAATAGCCACAATCCGTTATCTGCAATGGCTCTTAAACAGAAACTGTTTTAGGGCCAAATGAAATTTGAGGAGAATTGCAAAATTTGTTACAATACAAACGTGATTGAATATCTCCTACGTTCATCACCACCACCACCACCACGACTCTTCTTCTTTCCTTGCTAGCTGACAATTTTTCACCAATAAAAAAAGTGCGTCCAACAATGTCAAAACCAGTTGAAATTCCAGGAAAGTTCGGATTCGGAACTATGTCAATGACATGGAAACCGAATCCACCTCCTTTCGAACAATCAATTGAAACACTTGAATTTGTCACTTCACATCCTGAATTCAGTACCAAATTATTGAATGGAGGTGAGTTTTATGGTCCCGATGATGCGAATTTGAAATTGTTGAAAGAGTTTGTTGATCAGAACCCACCAGAGTTGAACAAGCAATTGATTATTTCAATTAAAGGCGGGTGTAATGCAAAGACTCTTCACCCGGATGGATCAAGAGCTAGTATTTCCAGATCGATTGAGAATGTTGCTTCGTATTTCCCACCAAAAGGTCAAAGACCTACTCTATTATTTGAAATTGCTAGGGTCGATTCTAAGGTGCCCTACGAAGAGACGATTGGATATATTAAAGAATATGTGGACAAGGGAGTCATTGATGGGATTTCGTTATCTGAAGTTGGAATTAAGTCTTTGAAGAAAGCAATTTCAGTTGCGCCCATTTCATGTGTTGAATTGGAATTATCGTTATTTTCGCAAGAAGTATTTGACAATGGTATTCTTGAAGAGTTATCCAAAACACGCATTCCAATGATTGCTTACTCTCCTCTTTGTAGAGGGATATTAACTGATTCTACTGCCGAGAACCCAGAAAAGTTTTTGCAAAATATCAAAGAAAGCGGAGATATCAGAAACATTTTAGATAGGTTCCAGCTGGAAACTTTCAACAAGAACCTTCCTGCACTACAAGCTCTTTATAAGTTTGCGCATGAAGTCAAACATACTTCCTTGGAGAGCTTATCACTCTCATGGATTTTGAAAGTATCAGAGCAAAAGAATTTCAGAGGTATTAAGCAAATCACCAAAATCTTGCCTATCCCATCTGGATCAACTAAACAACGTGTTGAATCTAATTTCGGTAGTATTGTGCAATTGACTGATGATGATTTGCAACAAATTGAAGAGATTCTCAAACAACATCCTATTCATGGATTAAGATACAATGCTCAATTAGAAGGCACTTTGTTTCAATAGAAGGAAAACAAAATAAAAAAAAAAAAAAAAGTAAATATCTAGTGGCGGTATCGGAGAAAAGATTTTCCGTTCTCGTTAGTTTAGTGACACGTACAAACAAGTGAAAAAAATACGAAAATTCGCCACAACATAAAAATTCTACTATTCAGTGTAGGTTCTAGTCGAGATTTCGATCCCAGATCCAGTATTACGGATTGTGATCTCGGATTTGCTTGCACCATTTCTATCAAAGCGATTCCTCTCATGGCGAGCGTTACCTCCCCCCACCTAATACTGATCAAGGGTCTTTCAATATCTGCCCCCACCTTCCGATTTCCACGGACACAATAGTACTTTGTTACATTTTTTTCCCCCTTCTACATAGAATCTTTCCTATTGGGAAATAAAGCAGCGAATAAACTGAAGCTTAATGCAATACATCAGCTGACTGAGACTTAATAACACGTAAATCAAAACTCATCGCAACGCGACTTTAAGTGCGGCTTGACTTTGTAAAGGTGTCACCTTCATTTTGTCCTTCGACATTCAAATATACTCCACTTTGCTCTTTTGAAACACTGCTCCAGTAAATAGCTTAAACCTTAAAGTTTCCTTCTGTTCCTATTATTTTTTTTTCAACTATTCATATTCAATGAAATCGTTGAGCTTGTATTTATTGCTTGTGCTTACTCAATTGGTTTCAATCTTTGCAAAACCTGACAGGAAGTTGCTTTTCAACTTCCAAAATAATGCTGCTTGTATATTAGTCAATGAAACTGCGGTAAATACGAACTTTAAATTCAATTTTCATGGAACGCAACAAGATGATCAAGTTCCCATGATGATTTTCAATTACTTGGATCTCAAGTTTTTCAAAAACTTGCCCAACTTTGATACTTTTCTCAATCATACTTATTTGGATGAGAAAAAGATTTTGGAAATTGGAGATGATATTTATGATGATATCAGTTTCAAACTCAAGACTTTCAGAGGAGCAGCATTACCCGAAAGTTTGTATACTACGGTGGTTACTACTGATAAAGAATTAGAATACACCGCTTCTGAACCGGGAGTTTATTGTGTTTATTTCCCACTTTATTCGTACGATGGAGATATCATTCATCCAACAAACTATCACGCGGAGCTTCAAATTGATGATTTCCAATCGATTTCTGTATTTAATGATATATCAGCTCATATCAGTGAATTTTTGATGTTTGGTTTAGCACTTGTTCCACTATACTATATATACCCCGTGCTCCGCACAAAGCAAGTTAATAAGCTTCCACCAGTAATTCAGCAGCTCACTCAATTACTCATTGTTTTTGTGTGTCTCAATGTAGCCCATTTTGTATTAGAATTGGCTTATTTGTTCATGCCCAATGACTTTTTACATGGTTTTAGTGAAGTTTATTTTGCTTTTTTCAAGCTGATTTTGTTGGAGAAATGGCAAAAGTATATTGTTGCTTTGGTTTATTTTGGCTTGGGGTATGTCAATTCTCCCGTGAAGTCGCTGAAACTATTGCTTCAATGTATCTTCACAGTGAACATTATATCCACTTGTGTGTTTTATTACGCAACGGGCAAGTTATCATCAGTTACGGATATCACAGTTAATGGTGCCCAGTACCAAGTCGTATACAAATCAATCTTGGTGCCTCGTTTCTACAAGAAAGTTGCATTGAATCAGGATACAGATTTCACCAAATTGATGATAACTATATCCGGTCTTGTTCAAGTAGTTTCAAGTTTTTTGATGCAGTTGCTTAGTTTTTACTATGGGTTGAAACTAAGCTGGAAATTTCGTGGTAGTAAGAAATTGTCTAAACCTATTATATCTTCAATCTTGTTCCATTTGATTTCGTGGAGTACATTTGGTAGACATCTCATGTACCAAATTTTCATTCAAATTAGGGCGGAAGGTATTTTCGATGTTGGCGAGTTGCTTAGCAATATGGGTGTAATGCTTGAGCATTATGAAGTCAAAATAGTAGGGTTTCAACTAGTTGAAATTTTGATATTGTTGTTTATTTGGACAACCAAGACTCCTTATGATGCTTCCGGTGTTGTAGTAGAGAAGGAGAATGAGAAGAAAAAGAAGGGTGAAAAAGAGAAGACGAAGGAGAAAGAGAAGGTGAAGAAAGAGACGGTTAAAGAAAAGGAAGTAGATGACAAGGCAGTAGATGACAAGGCGGTAGATGACAAGGCGGTAGATGACAAGGCGGTAGAGAAGAAACCAGTGGAAGAGCAAACAGAACAAAGCAAAGTTGAAAAGAGAAAAAAGACTACAAAAGTTGAAGACGATTGAAAGAAGCACAATTGCAAAGTCAACTGAAGATAAAAGGGGTATGATTGTATATGTAACTGTTTTTTCTCTCCCTGTACTATAACAGTTTTCTTATTTCATTAAACACTCTCATTTGTCTGTAAGATAACAGCGAGAAGAAAGAAAGGAGGATGAGAGGAGATGAGAGGATATGAGAGGAGGATGAGAGTGCGGCAGGTTAGTTTTTCCCTTGCTTGCTCCCCTCAGTCACAGATGGTCGATAGCTCAAAGGCTCCAGTTAGCTAATAGAGATTATATCAAATACGTGCCTTTCTATTAAACATTCTATAAAACCCGCCCTCTATAAGTAAAAATATATCGCTTAAATAACAAAGATTTAATAAGCATATAATGACCTAGCTCTTAACTTGGGACCATTAAGGTAGAAAAACACCGGGATAGCAATCATAACACAAGCAATGAAAGCCAAAAGACTAGATCCCCACCCGACGGGGTAGTTATCCAGTCCCAAATTCAAAAATAATGCTCTGCCAAATAAAGGAAAACATCCTGCGCTAACACTTCTGAAAAATGCATTTGATGAAAAAACAGATGCCAAGTATTCAACTTTGAAACTTGATGCCATGTAGTTGAACAATGTTTGGAAGATGAGGAATGCGCCAGCTGCAAAAAGGGCAATTCCAATCAAGGGCGGGAACCAATGGATGTGTGGTGACGAAGTCCATCCGAATATAAAGAGTCCTATTGGCATTAGTATTGCACCGACAATAGCCGCAGGGATGAAGATCTCCGGTACCACCATGTTTCCAGCCAATAATTTTTTAGTGAAAATCTGATAAACATAGGGGATGAAAATTGATCCAGCAATGACTATACCAATAACGATTGATGTATATGCAACACCCATTTCCACCAATGTGAAATGTTTGGTTTCTTGGAAAACAATAGGAACACCTTCAAAGAACAAATACATAACACTGTATACGAGTGCAATGTAGATATCAATTAGCAAAACAACAGGTTCCTTTATGGTAATTTCAATTGGTCTCCACAATAAATCCTTCAACACTTTACCAACAGAAGTGTGTTCTCCTTCAGATTTTATTTCGGCTTCACTTCTGATACGATCATTGCCTGTTAACCTTCTTAATCTTTCAGCCTTCTTCCTTAACAAGTAAGGTGCATAAGTTTCGGGCAATGTCCAGCCAAATATCAAGAAACACGATGAAATAAGTGCCATAAACCAAAAAGTCCATCTCCAACTTTCATATCCATTATGACCTCCTCTAACTACTAAAACGGAGCCAATTAGAGGTCCAAGTGCGGGACCACAAACTGCACCCAATGACCAAGAAGCTAATCCAACAACAAAATAAGGCAAGTTAATGAAATCTCCATATGATGCACCACCTGTACTGAGAGCAGGACTAGCAAAAAACCCAGCAATTAATCTCAACACACTCATCCCAGCAATGCTAGTAGACAATGCAGTGGGGATTTGCATCATACAAAAGATGAACAAGGTTATAATGTATAAGTAAGTTCTTCCAATCCTCGAATGTTCCGACAAGGGACTAAAAAATATAGGGCCTATACCATATCCAATGACAAACATTGACAATGGCAAAGTAGCTAATGTTTGACTTATGTTGAATTTCTCCATTATGTCTTCCACACCAGGGGTATATATTGCTGAAGCCATATAAACAGACACAGTAAGGAATGAAATTTGAAACGCCATAATTGCTTTTAGTCCAAAGGACCAATTGTATGGATTTTCTGGATCATCATCACCATCCCAGGTTACAATTATATAATCATCATTCTTGGGCGAATCTTTTGATTCTGAAGCAGCAGCAGCAGCAGCAGCCGGTGCCGGTGCCGGTGAATTTAACACTGTACTATCTGAAGAGGAAGAAACATCTTTGCTATCCTCTTTTTCACTATTGACCAGTGTCTGTGTTGTCTCATACAATTGCTTTTCTGTTACCAAATACTTTTCTGGTATAACATAATCCGGTAGTTCATCGCGATGTAAAAAGATTTTGCGTCCTGATAATCGGTATAATATTTGCCCTACAAACGAATCCTTCACAAACGACTTCATGGTTAGGTATTTGCCGCTGTATTCTCTGTGATTATGTGAAAAGGTTCCTTTAATGGTTGGTTTTTGTTAAAAAAAAATTTTTTTTGCAATTACAAATATCGGATGCTTCTGTCAATAAAGTTGAGAAAAATTAAGCTTTTTTATATGGCAAAGACACCAACTCATTTGTGGAACTTCCTTTCTAAATTCTTTATCTTTTATACTTTGTTTGCTGAGTCATTAGAACATATATTCTGTCAATAAAGTCTTTAAACAAAGACTTTACTGGTAAAATAAATAAATAAATAAAAAAAAAATATTATAACGGAAAAAAGCTCGGCTTTGTGTAATATGCAAGTGATAAAATATCTGCATGCTGGCAAGCGGGTTTTTTGTTTCTTATTACTCAGCTCGTAAGAGAAGTCGGATTTAGGGAATGCGGCTCTAAATTCATATACATCTTATCCGCTAAAAAGAAAGAGAGAAGGAGAGAAGGGGAGAGAGAGAAGGAGAGAGAGAAAAGGAGAGAGAAAGGTTGGATTATTGATATTGAGAGTAGAGATTAATCATCGAAATTGTGTCTTGGCTGATCCCCATTGAGTTGTGAAAAATGTTCGGGGTCTGGTCCTTTTCACCGTATTGTGGGTTCATGTCCCTAGAATTTACGAGGAGGAGTCGAGTTCGACACGGGTTTGAGTTCTTTCCTCTTAATCTCCATCTTTCGAATTTTCCTCTTTTTTTTTTTTCTTATCCACCTCGGATCCGGTTTTTTTTTTTTGATCAATTGTGTTTTTGTGGGATCAGAACTGAAACCATGCAATGTGTGACAATAAGAAGAGAGTCATTCTGTTGTTAACCGTCCATTGTATAGATTTGTCATCATTTTGGTATTGATGCCAGATTATTGCAATTCACATTTACCCAATTAACCGTTGCGTTTGACAGTTTATCATTATTGATACTGGAGATAATTGTATTTTTCTTTTATTTCGGCGAGTTTTCCAATTCGAGATTTTTCCGAATGATTTCAAGCACTTTGCAGGTGAAACAAATTAGGAAAGCCCGAAAACTAATATCTTTTTTGAAGCCTTGTTGAGGCTCAAAAAGCAATCAATTCTTATTCTGCACTTGTTATTCCGCATGCTTTTGTTAGTTGCTCCGCGTTGAAAATGCACTTTCAAAGGGCCCTACATTTTTCTAAGAAGTCTCCTCGCAAGTATGCTCTGTACTTTTCTTGTAATTATTTGTCAACACACGGGTTTGACAAAAGGAGAAAGTTACTATTTCTGATAAAGCTATTGGCGTTGTTTTTGATATTAATACCCATCCACGACCACAGAACAAGAGAAGCATACAAATGTTTTCCAGTTTGAGCCGCATTTTAGAGATAAAAAGAAATTTCAAAAGTAGCAACATCTAAAGATTACTTTAGTTTGTGTTGTCATTAGGGGTAAATTTTTATGCGATGAGGTTTATGTCATGCAGAGACATACATCAAGCAACAAAGGCTGCAAAATCATAAGTGTGTGACACTATCTCGCTCTGCTCGATAGTGTCCAACAACTTTGTAGCTTGGTCTTTCAACTGGCGAGTGATGATGATGATGATGATGGATAGGCTACAAGGATTCAATTCTATCAATAGGTTGCAAAACATCGAAAATATACAAACCCCGTGATTTTGACTCCTCATAAGGTGTTATTATGAATATTTATATTTTTTTGGCTTGAATTGCTCATGATGATGATGTCAAGCGTTACTTTCGGCTCAAAAGTCTAGACTCTTTAACCACTTTCTTTCTAGAAGAAAAGTGATTCACGTGATTCACGTGATTTAAGTTATCTTTGATTCTGTATTATCTTTTATGCTCTATTAGTGCTATCTCTGGTTTAGTTAAACTAGACAAGAACATTTTAATAATTGGCAAGAGAAAAAGTTTGCGTTTTTGACTTCTGTGTATAGCATTTTCTTTGTTCTACATGGTTGGTAAAACTCTAACCTTGATTACATCTAGGAACTAATGACTTTGACACTGTCGAGCAGCACTATCGAGCAAAGCGAGATAGTGTTGTAACAAGCTACAAAGTGTTGGTGGCAGCTAGTCAGTGTTCTAATCTACTATGTGCTGCTCGATAGTAGATTACTGACTAGCTCACCCATTTAGTCTCATGGATCACGTGAACCAATACTTTGTATCACTCTTGCAGCATCCAGCATTTTGTATAATTTGTTTTTCTCAAATTTAGAGTCTTGAGTTTACGCTACATTGCAAATCCCTTTGATTTCTGCAATAGTCTATATTCCCTCTAACTAACAGACTTTAGCATTGCAATTCAGTATCTAACTATTCACTACAAACCGGTATCTCCAATCATGCACAAAAGGCCCGTATGTAGTCTTAGCTCAATCTCTTACTGTCCTAATCTCAAACTTTCCCAATCTCAAACTTTCCCAATCTCAAACTGTCCTAATCTCACTGTCCTAATCTCAAACTTTCCCAATCTCAAACTCTCAATGGAACTAGATTATCGGCTAATTGAGTGGGCTACAAAAAAAAAAAAATAAACCAAGCTATATTTGTTTTCGACTAAATTTTTTTTTTTTTTTCTTGACCTTGTTATTTGCCTATTTTTTTTTCTCTTTCTTTATGCCCCTACAAGAAAATAGGTTTGCTGTGTTTGACGCTGACCCTCTATCACCCTACTATAGAACAAGAGCTTTAATTTTTCGAGACTTGAAGCCAATTACAGCGAAATGAGATAAACAGAGCTCACTAATAACGACTTACACAAATTCAATATCGCGACTCATATACATAATTATTTTTTTAATTTTTTTTTTTCGTTTAAATAATTAAAACTTGGTAGCACCTTCCCAATAGAGTTAAAATATGAATACTATAATTAGATTTTAATGTTTATTATTGACAAAGGCTGAATCAAAGCTAAAACATTTTTTTTTTTTTTTTTTCACAAGCTGGGAAGTCAAAAGTTTGAATAGGAAAGGTAGAGGATGACCCACCCCCTTAATAGTTTCAATTGACAACGCCAAGTATTGAAGAAAAAGTAACTCGTCAACATAACTACAGAGAACTCTGAAAAAAAAAAGTTTACTTTACTTGCCTCGCGACAAGAGAGAATTTACATAGATACTGGAGATACATACACGCAGACCAGAGAGAGACTACTCACATTTTTTTAGCTGGAGATATATACACACACAGACAAGTTTTTTTAGCTGGAGATATATACAACCACGGGCAGTCTTTTTAGCTGGAAATATACAACCACGGACAGTCTTTTTAGCTGGAGATATACAACTACGGACAGGTTTTTAGCTGGAGATATATTCACAGGGACAGGGTTTTTAGCTGGAGATACGGACAGGTTTTTTTTTTCCCGCTATAAATTACTAGCTACATTATAGGTACACATTGCTGATTAGTCCCTTAGATAATATATAACACATATAGGGGGAGGAAATAGATTTAGGACGTTTTCCAACGAACCATGAGCTATCAAAGAACAAACGGAGGGAAAGGAGGAAGGGACAATGCCCGTCACAATAGGTACAACAATACTTCTACTTTCCACGATGGATCTGATGACGATGATCTGTCAATAGAGTTTTTAGAACATAATGTTACCAATACTCCATTGACTCAGGGGACATACAACTACAACCACTCGACCAACTCAATGAGCTTTCAACAACCCGAGCCGATATATCACCATAACCACTCTACAACTTCCTTGGGTGAAAGTTACTACAACCAACCAATATTCAATACTAGCACTTCTCATCATCCACTGGACGATCCGTTTCGCGGAGATTACGAAATGCAATATCAAGGATATAACGGCAGCAGTAGTGGCAACAACAACATCAACAACAACAACTATCACCAATCTTTTGTACCTCACGTATACGAAGACGAAGATTCTGAAGAAAGAGAATTCGACCAGAGAATCCAGTATAACCAATTTGAAGGAGATCATTACGATTTGGCTACTGCTAGTTATATAGATGACGATATCGAGAATCTGCAAGCTGGATTTGTACCTATTGAAGGCACCATCGATGAAGAAAGAACAATTGGTAGTCCCTTTGGTACTAACGAAGAACCATTTCAAGAGCCACCGTTGGAGGAAGAAGTAAGATCTAAGAAACCTATTCGGGCAAGTGGTATAAACGGTCATTTAGTCTTGGATTGTCCTGTTGCTGGTGAGCTTTTGTCGAAATTCCCCGATTACAAACAAGACGAAAAGGATGGTGGCTTATCTAGAGAGTTTGCTTTTATGAGATATACTGCAGTGACTTGTGGTCCTTCAAATTTTTATCGCGATGCTTATATCTTGAGACCGGTGCATTATCCTATACCGAGACAAACCGAATTGATGATTGTAATTACAATGTATAACGAAAATGACATTTTGTTGGGAAGAACTCTCAAGGGTGTTTTTAAAAACATTAAATATCTAGAGTCCAAGTCAAGATCTTCTGTTTGGGGAAAGGATTCTTGGAAGAAAATAGTTGTTTGCATTGTTAGTGATGGACGAACTAAGATCAACGAAAGAGCTCAAGCTTTACTTGCTGGGCTAGGAGTTTACCAAGAAGGACTAGCCAAGAGTAGGGTTAATGACCAGAAGGTTCAAGCTCACATGTATGAGTATACTACAAGAGTCGGAATCAGCTCGGTAACTGATGACGTTGTCAAGTTAACTACTGAAAAGATTGTTCCAGTACAAATGCTATTTTGCTTAAAAGAAACAAATGCTAAAAAAATCAATTCCCATCGTTGGTGTTTCCAAGCAATTGGTCAAGTATTGGACCCAAAGATTGTTATTTTGTTGGATTGTGGAACCCAGCCAGCAGGAAAGTCGCTTTACAAATTATGGAAGGAATTTGATCGTGATCACCGTGTTGCTGGTGCATGTGGGGAGATTACAGCATCGCTTAAGAAGAGGCAAATGCTCACTAACCCACTAGTATATGGACAAAATTTTGAGTATAAAATATCAAACATTTTGGATAAGCCTACGGAATCATCGTTTGGGTTTATATCTGTTTTGCCAGGGGCGTTTTCTGCATATAGAAACATTGCATTGCAAAACGATGTAAATGGGAACGGTCCATTGGAAAAGTATTTCAAAGGTGAGTTTTTGCACAGTTCAGGTGAATTAGATCCACAAGATGATGAGTACGAAATGAAGAGACAATTGTTAAAAGAAGAAGCAGGGATATTTACTTCAAATATGTATCTTGCCGAGGATCGTATTTTGTGTTTCGAGCTAGTGGCCAAACATGGGTGTAATTGGTTGTTAAGATACTGTAAGTCAGCAAGCGCAGAAACTGATGTTCCTGAGGGATTAGCTGAATTTATCTTGCAAAGAAGAAGGTGGCTAAATGGGTCGTTCTTTGCTGCCATATATGCATTAGTTCATTTCCCCAAGATTTGGACTAGTTCTCATTCCTTTGGAAGAAAGATCTTTTTTCAGATTGAGTTTTTTTATCAATTTATCAATTTGATTGTGTCTTGGTTCAGTATTGGTTCCTATTTCCTTGTGTTTCGAATCTTGACCACATCATTAATTAATGCGGACTTGAATTTCCCACCGGGAAATGTATTGTCTGTTGTGTTTTTATGGCTATATCTTGCTTCTATTGTGACTACATTTGTGCTCAGTTTTGGTAACAAGCCCAAGGGAACAGAAAGATTTTACATTGTTATTGTTATTTTCTTTGCTATACTTATGGCATATATGATATTTGCAGCTATTTTTCTTGCCGTCCATGCCATCCAAGACATTTACCGAAACAACCAATTTTCAGTTGACTTATTTTTCCAAAACGCTCAATTTAGAGACTTGATTGTTGCTACAGCATCCACTTATGCATTATATTTTTTTGCTTCGTTTCTTTATTTCGAACCATGGCATATGTTTACCTCATTTATTCAATATATTCTATTGTCGCCATCCTATATCAATGTGCTCAACATTTATGCATTTTGTAACATTGACGATATTTCGTGGGGTACAAAGGGAGACGTTGGTGGAAAATCGTTAGGTGAAGCGAAATTAAGAGAAGATGGTACATTTGATGTTTCTGTACCCATACTAAAGGAAGAGATAAATCAATCTTACTTGGATCAGCTTGAAAAAATTCGTGATCCAGCACCACCTTCAGAAAATGAAGGCGTTACAAGTTCAGAGGACTATTTTGCGTTTATTAGATCTATGACCGTTTTGATTTGGATGTTTTCCAACTTTGTGATCATTGCGGTGGTTTTAGAAACTGGTGGGTTTAATCAATTTGTATCTGACAATAACCAAAACGTAACAAAGACTACGCGTTCTGAAATATTCCTAACAGTAATATTATGGACTGTGGCGTTTATGGCGTTGTTTCGATTCATTGGGTGTATTTATTATTTGTTTAGTCGTTTGGCAAGAAGAATGAAGGGAAGTGAACATGCTACCAAGTTATAAAGGGTTGATGGGGTATATAGAGGAGGGTGGAAGAGGTGGAAGAGGTGGTGGTGGAAGAACACTTTTTATTTTTCAGACCAATTTTATGATTTCATGAGCTTAAATAGTGGAGGGGGGAGAGTTATTTAACACCAAGTCTCTCTCATTTGTCTATTAAGCCAAAAAAATTCTGTCTCGATCTTGAAATAACTCCGTAATTTCAAAAGCCAGTGGGAATAATTCTTCAATTGCATTTTATTTTCCTGCTTTATTTTTTTAAACACCGCGGAGCCCCCAGCCGATAAAGGCACAAAAGAGCGCTTTCGCAATTAGCCACAATTTTTCAACCAATTTTTCAACCAATTCCTAATAATTTATATAGTTTTTCATTTGCCCATCAGAAAAAGGTAGGATATATACAAGGGTTTCGTTTTCATTCCCAAGAAATGTCTCACTTTTCAACCAACTCGATCCATGGAGGAGATCACCTCAAAACGACCAACGATGTAATCACACCCATTCATATAACTACCACATATGCTTATTCCAATAATCCAGAAGAATTAACTCCAGGTGAATTAACTAATCCCAATGTACTAATCTACTCTAGAGAAAACCACCCCAATGCGGCGCAAATAGAAGCGATAGTTGAACTGATCACAGGCTATCCAACAGTAGTCTACAACTCTGGTCTTGGTGCATTCAATGCGTTGATGACTCATGTCAATCCCAAAGCCTTGGCTATTGGGGATGGATACCATGGATGTCAAGGCATAGCAGACATTTGGAAGAGAAATTTTGGTTTGAAGCAGATACACATTGATGATGATGATGACAAGGCTTGGGAGGTGATTAAACCGGGTGATTTAGTACATTTGGAAACGCCATTGAATCCATATGGGACATACTTTGATATTACCAAGTACGCCAAGAAGGCGCATGATAGAGGTGCTCTTTTGAGCGTTGATGCAACATTTGCGCCACCTCCTTTGCTTGATCCCTTCAAGTTTGGTGCCGATATTGTTTTGCATTCTGCTACAAAGTTTTTTGGGGGACATTCTGATTTATTAGCTGGGCTATTACTAATCAAGTCTAAAGACGTTAAAGGGCAATTACTTTTGGATAGATTGGTTCTTGGTTCAAATATTGGTAATTTGGAAAGTTCGCTTTTAGTGAGAAGTTTAAGGACCTTTGAATTGAGAGTTGCTAGACAGTCGAGAAGTGCTGAAACCATTATTCTGTTTCTTAATAAACACAAGTCGAGATTTTCACATTTGGAAAAGATATATCATGGATCACTTCAAAATGATGAATTTATCAATGAGCAAATGCCCAATGGTCACACGCCTGTTTTCTCAATAGAATTGCAAACAATAGATCAAGCAAAAGCATTACCTTCCAAATTGAAATTGTTTCATCATGCTACTAGCTTGGGTGGTGCTGAGAGTTTGATTGAATGGAGGGCAATGAGCGATAATCATATAAGTAAGAAATTATTGAGAATTTCAATTGGATTAGAGGATCCTAGAGATTTAGTAGCAGATTTAGTTGATGGATTGTTGATAAATGACTCCAATGAAGAAAATGAGTTGGTGGAAGAGATTTCAAAATTGATTGTTTAGAACAAGCGAAATAGGACACTATCGAGTAAAGGACACTATCGAGCAAAGCGAGATAGTGTCGTAACAAGCTACAAAGTGTTGTGGAGCAAAGCGAGATAGTGTTGTAACAAGCTACAAAGTGTTGCTCGATAGTGTCGGTCGATCGTGTTGTAACAAGCTATTGAGTGTTGCTCGATAGTGGGGCAAAGCGAGACAGTGTTGTAACAAGCTACAAAGTGTCGGTCGATAGTGTTGTAACAAGCTACTGAGTGTTGCTCCACTATCTCGCCCTGATGAATTGTTTGGGGGGTCTTTTTTTCTTTTATAGACTATGGAATTTTGATTAAAAATGCATATTTCATTACAGTTATCCTGCAAGATTCTCTAGCGGAGCTCATTGAGCTTGTATTTTATGATGTACAGAGGGGGAGAAGAAACATAATCAAAAAGAACCAGTTGTTCAATGAGTAGTTTAGAGGCTGAGTTTATGTTAAATGTCGTGACCAATTAATACATACCTCGCACTGAGGGGCGCTGAACGTGGCAATTAATACATCCCTCGCACTGAAAGGCGCTGGACGTTGCGCATGACTATTGTGATAAATGTATTATCAAGAATCTGCGCATTTTTGTGATTTAGAATAATAATCAAGGATGTAGCTCATCTTATTTAATGTAGATAAAGAACAGTACTATAGCGATAGATAAAAAAACAGTACTGTAGCGACAAATAAAAAACAGTACTACAGCGATAGAAAAACATTATTGTTAAATACAAACACTTATGTTATGGCTCCTTAATGGATATCTTTTAGTTTTCTGCTAAATCTTAAATATACCCCCAGAATAAGTAAAGCTAATGAGGATGACCATTTTATCTCCGATGATTGCATATAAGGCGAGGCTGGAAAAAAAAAAATGAATACGTCACTAGTTAGTGAGGCTCCACTATCTCCTTCATCCATAAAAAAAAACTGAGTTAGTGTCACTAGGCAGTGAGGCACCCCTATCTCGCTTCGCTCGATAGGGTCACTAGTATCACCAGTCATTGGACTCCACTATCTCGCTTCGCTCCCTAATGCCTATAAGTGATATAAATGCTGCCGCCCAAAGCCGTATTAGTCAGTCACGTTTTTCCTTTATCTACGAATTTATAGTATCGTATTTTATATCAGATACATAACACTGAACTAAATTCTGCATTGGGCTAGTCACATGATCAAGAAAAGGCTAAAACTCACATAGACGAAATTTACAGATTAAGAAAAATCACTATCCCCTAGAAAACAATCTAATAAAAATAATACATATAGATATAGATATATAATGAGATATTCAAGTATAAATAGGATTGGTTTTCTTTTCCTTTTTGCTTGGTATATTTTTTTTTCTCCTTCTTGAAATTTTATTGAAATTTTATTGATTTTTTAGATTAACGTATATCTATTCATACATAAAAGCTGTTAAGTAATGTCTAAATTAGAGACACGCTCTACCGATTCGTTTGACCCGGATACTTATAAAGCAACTGCTATTGCTAATGAGCCAAGTGTTAAGCCAGAAATGGTTTTGAAAAATTTTGCCAGGACTTATGAGACTCCAAAATCTGGTGCATATCAGTCCTTTATTTCAGGGGTTGGTTCATTTTTTGGTCAGTGTGGTATGTTTTGTTTTCTTTGTGAAAATCCATATAAGGAAGTTGATCAAGGTGAAGTTGGCTTAGTCCAGACTTTTGGAAGATTATCAAGAGCTGTTGAGCCCGGGTTAAATTATGTTAATACATGGAGTGAGAGATTAACGAGAGTTTCTATCAAGATTAATATAAGAGAAATGCCAGCACAAAAATGTCTAACTAGAGACAATGTTAGTGTTATAATCACTTCAGTTGTTTATTACAACATTATTGATCCTCAAAAGGCTATTTTTTCAATTCAAAATATCCACGAGGCTATTATTGAAAGAACTCAGACTACCTTGAGGGATGTTATTGGTGGTAGAGTATTACAAGATGTTGTTGAAAAGAGAGAGGAAGTTGCTGAATCAATTGAACATATAATAGCAAAGACCGCTTTTGACTGGGGTGTCAATATCGAATCCATTTTGATCAAAGATTTGACTTTGCCGGACAAAGTTCAAGCATCATTATCAATGGCCGCTGAAGCTAAAAGAATAGGTGAGGGTAAGATCATCAATGCCAAGGCAGAAGTCGAAAGTGCCAAATTAATGAGAAAAGCTGCCGATATCTTGGCTTCGAAACCTGCAATGCAAATTAGATATTTGGACGCATTACAAAATATGGCCAAGTCTCCAGGTACTAGAGTAATTTTTATGCCATCAGCTCAAGAAGTTGAAAGACTAGCTACATCGAATATTGGTGAAAATACCTATATCGATAAGGGGAAAGGAAAACTACAAGATTTGGAAGAGGATAAAGAATGGGCGACAGGCTCTACCGAAGACAATCATCCATTCAAAAGACAACATGTTATACCTGTTGGAATAAACAGTAATAAGCATATTCTTGATACTGTGGCCATGCAAGAGGCATTGCATTGAAATTGCTGTTGACTCTTGATATGTTTGTTTGTCTGTCTGTCTGTTTTATTTTATTTTATTTTTCACTTTTTTCGATTCTGGTTAAATTTGTTTAATCCTGCTAAAGATGAGCCGTTAGTACCCTTTATATTAGTTGCTAATCGTTTTGTAACGCTTTTATGTCAATATGCTTTAGACACGGTAAAGAAAATGAGTATTTTCTGTTTAGAGACCAGAGATGTCTAGGGTTGAAACCGCACGTCTTTGTTCCGCGCTTCCCCTCTCTTAATAGTGGTGCTCCAATTGCCTCATTACTCGTTGTCAAGTCTTTACAATTGTCTTTGAGTCTAAGTTCATATTTCAATACCGCTTCTTTCTTTCCTATTTCTGTTTTATCAACCTTTGTAATTTTTCAATGCCCCTTTGGGGCTTTTAACGAGATTACAAAAAATTATTATGGTTGGTGCAATTAGCATTTTTTTTTTTTTACTTATCCGATCTCAATAAATCCACCATCTATTCTGCCTTTCCACTCCATCCCCTTCCCCCCTCCACACACCATCACCACCACCACCACCACACACGCATTTCCGGACCCTTACTACTCAAAAACCCTGTGATAAATTGGCCACAAACATTTGCAATGAACGGACGTAATGTGAATCAAGCAAATGGTGGTAATGTATATGCACTCAACAACTCGAGCCAGAGCCAATCTCAAATCCGACGACTAAATTTCAACAACATCAAACATTTGTATCCCGAGCATCAAGCGAACTTAAGTCATAGCGAAAACAATAGTTACGAGAGCCTAGTATCACCATATCGTCTTCCAAGTATGTCTGTTGATTCAATCCCTTACGATTCCAGTGCCGATGAGAGTATACCCTTGAGTCTTACGGCACAAGAGTTAACTTTACAAGAGAGCAAGACATATATGAGATGGTACAGTGATATCCTTGCTCGTACTAATAATCGCACCATTTCCATAAACGATGTTTTCAACTTCCTTGTGAACTTTAAAATATTAGAGGAACGCAAAAACAAGATATATCTGATTTTTAGTAAGATCAAGTCAAGTATCAATATAGGGGAGTTTTTTGCATTGTTAAGGGTGATAAGTCACACTTTGATGGGTGAAGAGCCAGTAAGACGATTAATCAAAGTCGTTGCTCCTGTACCAACTCCCCCGTCAATCTTGTCAAAAAAGAGACAAAATGATGAAGAAGAAGAGAGTAGTGAGAATACAGATACGAAGGAGCAAGAGCAAGGTCTCAAGCCGATGGCCCCCTTGGACATAGATAGTTTTACTCAATTTTTATTAACTGGAGAAAGACCCGATACGAATAATAGCATTGCCTCTCCAAATAGCAAGAGAAAGGCGAAGAAAGTGAAATTCTCGGATCAAGTAGATGTTCATGATTCTTCTGTTATAAGTCCTAGTCCTTTGGAATCTCCTCAGCTAACGTCATCCAACCCAATTGACTACTCACTACCTATGGACCAATTACTTGAAAGAATGCAGCAAAAGAAACAAGATGAGGAGGAAAAACAAGTGCTAAAAGATATGGAGTCACAGATCAACCATTTTCAAAATTTACATAGTGTTGATACCGCAAGTGTTGGTGGCACTCCTGTTCCTGCATCCTCTCACAACGATAACATGTTTCTTAAACCCAATATGACTGGCCCTGTACAAATGTCTAGGATGTTTGGAAGTATGAGTGTAAGTCCTGAGCCTTTACTGGAATCCCAGTTGACTCCGTTACGTCCGAATGTGACAGGGCCTGCAGATATGGCACGAATGTTTGCTCCTGAATCATTCCCACAGGAACTGCAACTGCAGTTTGGCTTTCAGCAGCAACAGCAGCAGCAACAACAACAACAGCAGCAGCAGCAACAACAACAGCAACAACAACAGCAACAACAACAGCAACAACAACAGCAACAACAACAGCAACAACAACAGCAACAACAACAGCAACAACAACAGCAACAACAACACCCAGGACAAGAGCAAACTCCACCCCAAGATTTACCCAAAATTTCCCTCCTGGCTTTTTCATCTCAAATGAGTGGTCAAACCATGGAAAATACCATACAAAACCAACAACCACCGGTACCAAGACACAGGTCCTATTCGTCACCTACACCGAATAAGCCTGTACCCCCTCCTCCGCCACCAAGAAGAAGAAATGTTCCAAGAATACTGGGCTCACCTGCTCCACCTGCGCTACCTCCAAAAATCCCAACTAAGGGCAATAGCGGTGAAAGAATGTATTTGAATTCAAATGGTGATTCCACTGCTAATATATTAGATGATTTGAAAGCATTGCAGGAGGAAGTTGATAAGATTCGAAACTTGACTGGAGGATTCTAGATTGTGGCAGCATTGAGGTTTGCCTGTTATTCTATTATAGATGGACGGTTTGGAAGAGAGAGATGAAGGTAGGGTTATGGACAAGAGCTTTACAAAGAGGCATGATTTTATAGAAACGATAAATTATACACTGACAAGTTTTGTTTAAAACAATTCATACTTTTTTCTAAAATGTTTCACGTATTGTATAGTAAATTTGTTTGGCTTAACAATTTTTAAGAATTTCCATTGGCCCATTGGCTCACTTGTAATATAGAGTGTCGGTGGCAGTCAGTGTGCTATGTTTTCTATAACATATGCTGATTACGAATTCGTAGACGTTTCATTATCTTATCCTAATTCTCTTACTTAGATAGAATTTTATTATTGTATTTTACCATTAGCATTTTTCAACAGATTCGACAAACTATCAAAGATGTTACTGATAAAGAAGAAAAGAAACAAAAGAAATCACCTATTATAAGCTATGTATTCTTGACCAAGTAAAAAACTCTTTACTTGCATTGACTTTGATGATATAAACCCGTGTTTGATTTTAATAAGATGTATATTGATACTATAGGCAATATGATAAAGAACCGTTATTCTCAAGCATAAGGATTTAATTCATCACCTTTAATTAGATCTATATTTTTAACAATAGGTAATTCTTTAATCAATAAAGGAGGATCTATATATTTTTCATTATCTAAATCCATTATTTTAATTAAATAACCTTCTTTTTTGTACAATTCTAATATTTTATGTACTAAATTATGCTGTCTCATTTTAACTGATAATACATATAAATTGTACTCGGGTATATCTATATCACTTTCTATTGTTTTAGTACTACCGTGTATAGTCAAAGATATTATATTGTTATATAAAATATTGTACTTAACTCTAGGTTCTATTTCAGAATACCTGCTCATACATCGTGTATCAAATTGATTTCTAGTGAATATAATAAATGGTTTATACTTTTTAAACAAGTTTTCAAATTTAGTAGGATTCATACATATTATCTTTGATAATACTATATTACAAGTATTGCCTTCTTTATATAACTTATAGGCTAAATCAAAATTATTCACAATATCATAATTTGTAACATTAGATGTATCCACATTCGTAGCAATATCTATAAAATCAGACTCTTCAATATAATCAGGTATATCATCAAACTGAGAATATTTAGGAAACTTGTTTGACATTATTCTTAAATTATTGGTATTTAAATGTCTAAAGAAGCGGTCATCGTGTTCATAACTATTATAGGAATCTTTACAACGTTTGTGTAAATCCTTTATATAATATTCATTGCCTACATACAATGCTAAACTATAACAAGTTAGATCCCCATACTTAACCATATAATCCTCATATACATATCTCCAATCAAATATTATAGATAAATATATCAAATCGGATCTATGTACACCTAATAACGCGTATCTTATAAAAGGATAATTGAAATCATAAAATAATTTTTCTGAATTATAATATTCTGATTCACTATCATTACGCGATATCATAATGCCATTCATTATATCTTTATGTTCTTCCGTATATTTCAATTTAAAACATCTTTTATTGAATTCGAAATTGGCATAACATCCATTAATCATAGATGATATTAATACATCGTTTTCAAGACTGTCAACATACTCTCTATCTTCAAAAGTATCAAAAAATTCTATATAACCGTAAAACGCTAATTTATTCATTCTTTTATATTTTATAAAACAAAAGCAGTAGTATATTAGATTACTACTTTTGAGCAAGTACAAAAATGGAGGGATGGGTAGAGAAAAATACAAAATTGGGTAGAAAAATAAGGGAATGTATAGGAATAAGGTTAATGATATGAAAAGTCAAGGATATGAGTCATAAATTGTGATTTAGTGCTACAACATTTCAAATAATGTGCAAAAATATTACTTGATAATTTTTCTGTATTCTTCTCCACAAATGAGCTCCAGCAAGTATTTTTGTAACAAGCGGCAGTTGTACTCTTCTCACTGTTTTATTTTTCTCTAATCTATTGTGTTTTTAGAGGGTATTCAACAAGCTTTCCTTTTCTTTTTCTTTGTCATATTTAATTTTATATTATCATGAAACATCAATGGTGACCATTAAAGCCATAAAACCCTTCATGAAATGCCGACTTTGTAACTGTTTTACGCACTTTGTATAAAAAAAATGAACGGTAGACGCACGACAGCGGACACAAAAAAATATCAAACAGGACAATATATATCAGACAAAAACCGTAGAGCTAAATATACCAGACACAGACAAACAAAATACGACATTGCTACCATAAAAGACGACACAAGACAAAAATCATCAGATATACGACATTTGTCGAAAAACAGGGGTAACATCAGGCATAGAATATTTAAACACAAGACAAAAAGGCTATTATCAAACCCGTGTGTTTGAATGTTCTAAGAACAGCCAAAGTAATAGTGGAATTCCATATATACAAGATTCTATGGAGAGGGCATTGAAGAGAATTGATTAATCTACCCAAAAACTCATAATTCTCGAGGAACGGTACTGTGAGCAGAAAATTACTCTCAATAATTTAATGGTGTCCTTAAAGATCTCTACTAATCAAACAATGAATATAACGATGATAGATAAGCAAAACGACATTAATTCATCTACAATCCTACAATCTAAATCTTTTCTTGAGTATTACCCGGCACTCTCTCTTTGCCAAAACTCTCCCAATCTCCAACTCTTCTCATATTCTCTCTCTTACCCGGCACTCGACATCTTCCATAAAATTTGTATTCATCTACAGAATTTATGTAAGTTAACTTCAATGAAAATTGAATCATAATGTATATATAGTATAGTCAAATTCCATTTTCTTACTAAGGCTATTAACATCAATCTTTATGGGTTCCTCTAAATATCTTCTGTTCTCTATATCAATATACTTGTATACTGGCATTCCTTTTTCTATTTTTTCTAAAAATTCATTGAATACAAGTTCGTAACATGATTTACGTGCTCCTTCATACATATTATATTCAATAAAACTATATTCAAACTTTCTATAATTCCATATATTTGTTGAATACATATATATAATACTATAATATAATAAATGATAATATATGTATAGATTATCTTCTTTTCTACTTTCTAAAACAGCAAAACGTGGTAATGTTTTACAATATAGAAAATTTGGAATTTCGATATTAAGTCTAGTACTTACTGTTATAAATCTAGAAAGGCAATAATCTAAATAAATTTTATTTTTATAACAATAAATAGCTAAGCTGGTATTATTTAATATATCTTCTTTTTTAAATTCTTCATTATTATAGTCTCTAGAATAGTATTCTTTATTATCTAAAAAGTTATGCAAATTTAGAATATCTAAATAGTGAACATGGAATGTTTTTTCCTGATCATATTCTCCATAACCTGCATAATATTCTCTAGTATAAAGATTGTCATCTTTACCGTAATCATAAATTGCATTACTAAATAAATTCATCATACAAACATTTTCATCGTGATGTACTTCTAAGTTTAATTTTTTATTACTATAATAATTAGGTAAATATCCTTTTTCTATAAAATATTTACAAATACCGACTTGTTTTTTTAATTTTATTTTATTAAAATTTGCTTCATCTTTTTTAAATAAAAAATTGACTGATAGTAATTCAGTAATAATTTCACTTTCTATTTCAAATATACTATTATCAAAATTTATATCAAAATTAAAAAAAGAAAGATTAAAATAGTTTAAAGAAGATAAACTTTTGTAATATTCTGGTTTACTTAATAATAAATTAAATTTAGGTATTACGTCTTCACATAATACTTCTCTATGATTACGAAACATATGAAGACAGAAGTCGAAATTAAGCAACAATCCATTACATATACAATATAATAACTCAAAGTCGGTATCATCATCTATTTTACAATTATTCACAAATAAATCTAAATCGCCATAATACGCATAAAAATAACATTTTTCTAAAGTTATCATTTTATGCTGAAATAATAGAAGCTAAAAAATTATAACAAAATACTATCTCTATGCTTTCGCATATATATCCTTTCGCTCGGTTACTTGTGTGCAGTTTGAAAAACAATACTAATTAGTTTTCATTTGTCTCGAAATTGTATGTTTTCTGAAAATGTCCTATAATAAAACCCATCCAGAAAAACTTTTTACTTGGTACATCTGAATTGGTAGCGGCGTGCAACCGATTGCAAAATTCAAAAAGGATGCAAAATATTGTTGATAATTTTATAAAATTTTAGACCTTCCATCAACACCTAGTACCTCAAAAAACAATGTATATCGGTTGCGGCCATATCTAGCAGAAAGCACCGTTTCCCGTCCGATCAACAGTAGTTAAGCTGCTAAGAGCGAGACCGAGTAGTGTAGTGGGAGACCATACGCGAAACTCTCGTGCTGCAATCTTTTTTTTTGAATACCTACAATCTAAATCTTTTCTTGAGTATTACCCGGCACTCTCTCTTTGCCAAAACTCGCCCAATCTCCAACTCCTCCCATATTCTCTTTCTTACCCGGCACTCGACATCTTCCATAAAATTTGTATTCATCTACAGAATTTATGTAAGTTAACTTCAATGAAAATTGAATCATAATGTATATATAGTATAGTCAAATTCCATTTTCTTACTAAGGCTATTAACATCAATCTTTATGGGTTCCTCTAAATATCTTCTGTTCTCTATATCAATATACTTGTATACTGGCATTCCTTTTTCTATTTTTTCTAAAAATTCATTGAATACAAGTTCGTAACATGATCTACGTGCTCCTTCATACATATTGTATTCTATAAATTCATAATCGAATTTATTATACTCTTTTATAAATGTTGAATACATATATATAATACTGTAATATAATAAATGATAGTATATATATATGTTATCTTTCTTTCTACTTTCTAAAACTGAAAAACGTGGTAGTGTTTTACAATATAAAAAACTTGGAATTTCTATAGTAAGTCTAGTACTTACTGTTATAAATCGTGAAAGACAATAATCTAAATATATTTTATTCTTATAACAATAAATAGCTAAACTTGTGTTATTTAATATATCTTCTTTTTCAAATTCGTCTTTACTATAATCTTTAGAATAATAATCTTTACCATCTAAAAAGTTATGTAAATTTATAATGTCTATATAATGAACATGAAATTCGGGTTCTAGTTCGTAATCATCATAATTTGGGTTATAATCTCTAGTATAAAGACTATTATCCTCACGATAATCATAAATTGAATTGCTAAATAAATTAGCACTAGATCCTTTTTCACGACCATATGTTTTTAGATTAGATTTTTCATTGATATAGTAATTAGGTAAATATCCTTTTCTTATGAAATATTTACAAATACCAACTTGTTTTTTTAATTTTATTTTATTGAAATTTTCTTTATCTTTTTTAAATAAAAAATTGACTGACAATAAATTAGTTATATTTTCGCTTTCTATTTCAAATATACTATCATCGAAATTTATATCAAAATTAAAATAAGAAAGATTATGAGTACGTAAAGAAGATAAACGTTTATAATATTCTGGTTTATTTAGTAATAAATTAAATTTAGGAATTTCATAACTACATAATAATTCTTTATGATTACAAAACATATAAGAACAAAAATCGAAATTGAGTAATAATCCATTACATATACAACATAGTAATTCAGGAGTAAAATCATCCTCTATCTTACAGTTTTTTAAAAGTAAATCTAAATCTCCATAGTACGCATAAAAATAATATTTTTCTAAAGTTATCATTTTATGCTGAAATAATAGAAGCTAAAAAATTATAACAAAATACTATCTCTATGCTTTCGCATATATATCCTTTCGCTCGGTTACTTGTGTGCAGTTTGAAAAACAATACTAATTAGTTTTCATTTGTCTCGAAATTGTATGTTTTCTGAAAATGTCCT